CTTCTTGCCTTCTGTCTGTGGAGATTCTCAGTCATCCAGGTCATGGTTATCCCAAAGGTGCTTTTTCACAAAGCAACTGGACTTTCTTGTTTTTCTTTGAAGACGTTTTGCTTCTCATCCAAGAAGCTTCTTCAACTCCCCACCATCCAGTCAGAGCTGAAGAAGCTTCCTGGATGAGAAACGAAACGTCTTCAAAGAAAAACAAGCAAGTCGAGTTGCCTTGTGAAAAAGCACCTTTGGGACTTCTTGCTTTCTCTTGGGCCCTTTGCCCCTCCTGATTTAACTAATAATAATGCTAGTTCTCAAAAAATTTCATTAGGAAGCACCGACCTTATATGCCCTTTTTATTGCCTGTCATGTCTCCAGGCTCCAAGGGTAACAATGGGGGGGGGGGTGCAGTTTTTGGAAGAGTGCCAGAGTTGGAGGAGAAATTTTGCCTGTGCTATATCTTGTTTCAAAATTCAGTAGGCCGGGTGGCATCTCAGTCTGTGTGATGTGCTTGGTTTTTCATCTGGCTTTGGTGGGTTAGGCAAAAATGTTTTGTCTGTTTGTATTTGCTAGAGATGATTCATTTTTAACATGTTGGGCCTCTGGGTGGATTACTAGTCCCTGGGCTTCTGAAGTTCAGACCCTAGCTTCTATTTTGTATTCAGTCAGGCGTTTTGTATCTCTTATATCCTTCACTGTCCTTCTGTGGAAAGAACAGGAAACAGCAATCAAAAGAATGGATCTGTATTTTGGCGTTTTGATAACCATTGGGGCTCACTTTGGACAAATCCTTTTATCTCCTTAGTTTACATTTTGGGAGGTAGATGATTTCTGGCTGGTAGAAAACACTCTTACAAATGGATCTGCTCATCAAAACATTGGATAACATTCCACCATATTTTTTTTTCCTGATTATTAACATCTGATCTCAAAAGACTGAGGTACTTTAATTCCTTTGAGGATCCTGGCATCCACGGTGCTACTTTTTTTAAAAATTCTGTGTCTTAATCAGCAGCTTCTTTACAGACAATAGGGAGCAAAATTATTTATCTTCTTGCCAAATGAACTTTTTATTATCTTTCATCAATGTAAGCTGTCAGGGAGTTGGAGCAATTCAGGGGCCTACACCTTTAATAAAGTATATTATCATTACCACCATATCAGGAAAAGTTTCTGCTACTACTTGCTTCACCTGAACAAAATATTAAGACCACAGGGGAACAAGCCAGATTTGATTTTTGGTAGTCAACTGGTAAGCATAGAGGGCAAAAAGAAATTGCATCTACTCATTATAATATCCTGTGAAACCTTACTAGTTAATGAGAGACATAGTTTCTTTGTGGCTGTGTGCATACACCACACTGAACATAGTTAAACAATTAACCCTCTTTCAGAGTTTGCACAATTCACTGAGCTTTAAACTGACCAAGTGAATGAGTCTTACAAGACATTCTCAACCACAAAAATAATAATTAAAAAAAACTTAGCAAGGTTAATATTCTCCAAGAGTGACAAGTGCAAGCAAAATTGATGGATCTTTAACTAATCTGATTATGTAAATACAGTCTTTAAGTAATAAAAGGTGACAAGCATATTGCAAATTATTTGTATATATTCTTAGCAGATAGCTTTTCTTTTTTAAAAAATAAAAAATTGTGCCCTCGAGTTTCTATAACTATTAAGAGTTCATTTGGGAAATATTGCCTGCCACCCAGTGTCCAAAATCAAATTATTTGAACCTATATATTTAGGAAAGAACTGATTAACACTTAACAGTTTATGTTTAATATAATTGCTTAAACCAAACCAAACCATGAAAATACACTATTATTACTCTTATATATTCAAAAATATAACATCATAGCTCCCAATTCTTTAGCTAGTATTGACCTGCTGATACTTTCCCAAGAACCTAAAAAGTTGTAATCTATCAGTATAGTATTCCTGCAAATTCAAGGCACAATTTCTAGGTGTCGTCCAAGTTTTTTCTGGGTCTGACACTCAATATGGCGATAACCATTTGGGACCACAACTTCCAGTTTATGCCATAATCTTTCAACTTCATTTTTCAGATCTTCATACTTTGTGATCTTCTCCAGTTCTTTGTGTTCATTTCTAGTATCCCCTGGTATTGCCACCTCAATTATCCGCACTTTCTTCCACAGTTAAATCTGGTGTGTTATGAGCAAATATTTTATCAGTTTGTTGTTCAGAAATCTCACAAAATTTTAATTTGTTTATTTTCAACTACTTTTTCAACTTTATACGCCCACCAATTTTTCATCACTGGCACATGATAATTTTTATAGATGTTCCAGTAAATCATTTTGGCAACTCTGTTATGTTATTGTTTATAAGCAGTTTGTGCAATCTACTTGCATGAGCTGAGTATATGATCTACTGTTTCTTCTGCTTTTTTACACAATTTGCATTTTGAATCATTTGATGTTTTTTTAATTCTGACCTTGATTGTGTTAGTTTGAACAGCCTTCACTTTCTTTTTTTAATGTTCCAGTTATAAGCCTTTGCCAGTTGTCAAGCCTTCAGTTTCTTTTTTTTAATGATCAAGTTGTAAGCCATTGCCAGATTGTATTTTTATCCATTTCATTATTATTATTCCTTTCAGATATTAGAGGACTTACTGGGCTGAGCAAACACACATAAGCTCACACAAATCAGCTTGCCAGGCTGACTAAAAATAACACCTTAGTTTTTTTTAATTAACTAAAATATGTATTTTTTAGCATCCAGAGTACCCAGCCTCTGTAATTTGAACTGCTGCTCTGTTGCCTCCTTGTCTCGAAAAGCAGAGGCACTGCTCTGGCACTCCAGGGCCAGCTGTTGAGGGCATTTGAGAGCAAACTCCAGGCTGTCATTCCTGCTGCTTGCCTGGCTCTCTGGCATTTTTAATATTTAACAAGGACCTAACAAAGCTAAGGAAAGGTAAGCAAAGGAAGAGAAGACACCTACAGTGCCACCCAGTTGGCCCTTTCATCTCCCAGGAGCTACTGAATCCCAGCCTGGGGTGAAGTCCTCCTCCTTCACTGCAGTTTTTGAAGTGCCAGCCTATACCCATTGCCTTGACGTTCACAGCTTCCTAGAGGAGGCTGGGGATGGGCTGCTGCCCTAACATTGCAAAGAAGGAATCTGAGGGGATAGCAGCTCAATCTGGGGCAAACCTGCCCTGCCTCATTTTACAATATGGTGCTCCTGCTCATTCTATTGGTAGACTCTGAAATCCTATCCTTAGTTGACCAGATATGATCAGACTGACCGTGTTGTGAATGAGAAGTTTTTCAGTTCCCATCTGGATTTCTCCTCATGAAGGGGGGAAGGGTCCTTTGCATAGTTTTGAAACCAATACACCCAACCTAGCAGCACCTCTGGCTAGGAAGGAGTTCAAAAACAAAAAAGGAATATTTAGGTGTGAAAATTGGGCTGAGGAGGATATAGTAAGTATGTATTAGACTTTCTTTACAAAGATGATCTATGTAGGCCAGGATGCGGTTTACATAGCTTTATACTCTGGACTTAATAGTTTTACTGAGAGGCTGTTTTAGATGACCTTGTGTTTTCTTTTATTTTCTTCAAAATACAATAGAAGCCATACTCCCTCGGAGGGAGAGCTCTCCTAATCATTCTGCAGAGTGGGGCCTACAACACTGTCAGCCACCCCACCGCTTACTCTGATGGTAAAACTACTTGTCATTCATGATTTGTGATCCAGACCAAGCTGATAAAGAAGTCTTGGGAGAAAAGTAATACCAGGCTCCACATTTGGACTAAGTCATTGTGGCTGGTGCATGCTGGAAATGACCATTGTGACCAAATTTATTTTACAATAAATGGGCTTCCGTAACTCTCTAAAAGCCAGAGTTTATTCTTGCGTTGTCCTGATAAAATGCTGAGTTCCAGAATTCCAGAAAAGCATTAACTATCCTAGTTCTCCTATTCCTCTGAATCAGATTTTAAGTTGGGAGGGGGAGAGAGAGGGGGTGAATAGAAAGCAGAAATGTGTTGCTTTTCCCTTACAATTCTGCAGTAGAAGGAAGAATCTTTCTTCCCCATTAAGGGCCTACCCTGAAACTGATTGGATATACAGGATTTGTCCTCAAAGCCATAACTGAACACCCGTAAGAATGTAGAGTAGCTCTTACTGGTTTTTAAGAGGGCAAAGCCATTTACTAAGGAGCCTTCTTTAGACTTAAACCTATACTTTCCTTCTTTTAGTTTGTTCCATAGGGCTTAAAGTGTTGGATTGACATCAGGGCATCCAAGTTCAAATCTACACCCCAGTTCAACGGGGAAGCCAAAAACGCTTAGAAACACCAGAACTATGTTACTAAGTTAACAATTCTAGTGTTAACAAGCATGGCAAGAAAAGTTGTAAAATGGGGCAAAACTCACTTAACAACTGTCTTGGTTAACAAAAAAAATGGGCTCAATTGTGGTCGTAAGTCAATGACTATCTGTATAAATTAGATATCAATCTAAATAAATAAATGAACGTAGCTTACCCTCCTGTTCTCATGGCATTGGTTACTTCATCCCAGATCATGATTTAAGCAGTTTTATATCACTGTTTTCCATACTGAAAATCATCCAGCAATCCCCAAGCAAGAGAACATCAAGAAAGCTAGAAAACTGCACCTACATAGCAACCGTAATTTTAATTGCCAGGCAAGAGCTAGGATCATCTGAGGTTGGTTTGTGAGTGCATACCATAAACCCTTCCCTTCAACTGCAGAAATCCACTTAAAACATTAAAAGCATAAACCTAGATGGTAATAGAATGTCTGGAGAATGATAGAATGTTGGGAACAGAACAGCCTTCCCCTACCTCGTAACCTATGGCTGGGGACAATGGACATTGTAATCTAGCTCCTGAGGTAACAAGTTGGGGAAGCTGATTAACACATTTTTCTCCTGGTACATTGACATTTTCTAGCCTGTCACAAACAGGTCAAACAGACTTGCTGCTTCATTCTTACCATTCTCTCTTTTGACCCCAGGTCTCTCTGATAACACAGCTGATCTGGAAAAGAGAAGACAGATCTATGGACAGAACTTTATCCCCCCAAAGAAGCCCAAGACCTTCCTGCAGTTAGTGTGGGAGGCACTTCAGGATGTGACCCTAATCATTCTGGAAATTGCTGCTATCATCTCTTTGGGACTATCTTTTTATGCTCCACCGGGTGAAGAAAGTGAAGGTAAGATTGGATCCCTGCCATCTCTGCCATGACATCCACACATGGGTGGACTTCCTCATTTCAAGAAATTGTGGAACATTGCTGTGGAGCATTATGGGAAAATATAACTAAGTGCCACTATTGAAACCTCCCACAATGCCCCATGGCCATCCAGTGCCGGAAACTGTTTGATTAGAGTATTTATATACTATTCTTGTCACACAACCAAGGACAATTCACAAGACAGATCCCTAAAATAAATCAAAAGCTCCTCATCAAAGCCATAAAATAGCCATAACAACAGCAGTAGAATTTGACCCATCATCAACAGATAAGACAGTAGTACATCAGACAGTGTTTGGATTCTGAATGCCTAAAAGAATAACATTCTTTTGATCATCTTCTAAAAGCTATCCAAAGTTGGGGCTGTCCAAATCTCAGCAGTGGGGGAGAAACTGTTCCAAAGGGACACAACAGCCATTGAGAAGACTTGGCCTCTTACTCTTCTCAACTCTTGAGGCAGGAAATTTGAAGGATGTCTTCTTGATTGAGCAGGCAAACTCCTTTCAAAGGAGATACTCCCTAATATAATTTGTAGAGGAATCATGGAAGGTCCTTGATGGACCTAGAAAGTGCAATTCTCTGAAACTGACAAGCACTTCAATGGAGATGGCAGCCAAGTGATACAAAACTTTCTTTGCTGCCACCTAATGATCCATGGGTTGGCCAGTCAACCAGGCAGCCCATAGTTTCAAGGACTTTTAGTTCAATTAGTCCACAGTATAATAGAAATGCGGGGGGAAACCAAAGCACTGCAATATATGGAATAAATCAGAACATTGTATGTACTAAATCTGGAGGATGTACAGTAAGTATATGACATGGATAGGGCTCAGATTTACATCAAGGAAACCACCAATCACAGCCATTAGAATAAAGTTTGTAAGGGCAACAAGATTTAGGCTAGCATGATTTCTTGCTAGCTTCGCTATGGGAGGGGAACAATTGTGTAATTATGTGGCTATGACATCAAAGCCTTGTCCTAAGATGGTGGATCCATCTTCCTTTGCAGATCAACTGGGAGAGCCAAGAGACGTTGATTCTGCATATTAGTCTGCCCAACTTTATCAAATTTCTTCATGCTGGCTCATCCCTATGTCTGCTAGGCTGCTTCATCTTTTTACTTATATTTGTAAGCTTGTACTATGCAAAAGGGATTATGCAAATGGGAGTATACAACAACAGTCTGAAATTGAGACTTATTTTACCAGTTTTGCCCAGGCAAGATCAGGGTATTCAGGTTAATTTAATTCTGTTAACATCCATTTACTTACCTACTAATGAGTTTAATAGGTAAATATTAAACTCCAACTTCTCCCTCAATCCATTTGGAGCAGATAGGAGAAATCATCCAGTTCTATGCAATTTTGCAATGGTCTGTATGCATCAACAGACAGAACAATGAGGTTAATAATATTTATATTTATGGCACCTCATCTTGACAGTTGTATGAGACTTAGGCCTATTAATACTGCAATATTAAGTGGTAAAATCAGCAATCTTTATAGCTGTTGCCTCACTCCTAGGGAATAGAATAGAATAGAATAGAATAGAATAGAATAGAATAGAATAGAATGGAAGGGAAGGGAAGGGAAGGGAAGGGAATAGAATAGAATAGAATAGAATAGAATAGAATAGAATAGAATAGAATAGAATAGAATATCTTTATTGTCACTGTGTATCTCACAATGAAATTAAGCGCTGTCCACAGTGCACACTACACACAAGTAAGAACCACAAGTAAAAACATACAGATCTGTAGCTATTGGAGAAGGAGAGATGACTGTAAGAAGGAGGTAGGCACTATCTACACCAAGATGTTTGGACTTCAACTCCCATAATTCCCCAGCCAACATGATGGTTGGGGAATCCTGAGAGTTGATGTCCACACATCTTAAAGTTGCTGAATTTGAGAAACAGACAGTTGGACTTCTAATCCCCTGCAGCCCCAGATGTTGTGGCTGATAGAATCATGGCACCTCTTCCTGATTTAAGTGATGTGTGATCAGAGTAATAGGAGCCTTCCTGTAACCAACATTTTCTTTTTTTCCTCCTTCCAGTCTGTGGGAATGTGTCAGGGGCTGCAGAGGATGAGGGTGAGTCAGAAGCTGGCTGGATTGAAGGTGCTGCCATCCTACTGTCAGTGATCTGCGTAGTGCTGGTCACAGCATTCAACGACTGGAGCAAGGAGAAGCAGTTTCGAGGTCTGCAAAGCCGCATAGAACAAGAACAGAAATTCAATGTCATCCGCAATGGGCAACTGGTCCAAATTCCCGTGGCTGAGCTGGTGGTGGGAGACATCGCCCAGATCAAATATGGTAAGAGAGAAGGCAGAAGCTAATGATCACTCAACTTAGTCCAGCCCTGCAAAGGCAAATTCAGCCCTGTATGGAGATACCTCAGGGACTGGATTTAAAACAATCCTGATATCTAGTTTCTGTCTCTGGGTATACCAAAGATACTTAGTAAACAAAGTGTTCTCCAGCATGGAAGGAATGTAGAATCCACGAATGGGTTTTAGAAGTCCTCTAGCCCAGTGGTTCTCAACCTGTGGGTCGGGACCCCATTTGGGGTCGAACGACCATTTCACGGGGGTCGCCAAACAACGCAGTCCGCCATTTTTTCCCCCTTTTCCTTAGCTGTGCTACTCCCTTTTATTCTATTGGCTTTTGAAAGCCAATAGAATAGACTCTCTTGAATAGAGTCTAATTCTATTGGCTTTCAAAAGCCAATAGGAATTGTCCAGGCTGTCTCTGCCCTGCTGAGCCCGCCAAAAGTCCCATTCTGCAAACGGTGCTGCACCAGTTGAGTAGTCCTCGACTTACGACCGGTTGAGTAGTCCTTGACTTACGACTGGTTGGGGGTCGCGGCATTAAAAAGGTTGAGAACCACTGCTCTAGCCCAATTAGACCAATCAATCAAAGTACCACGTCTCTTCAGGACTGGACCATGCCCCAGTTTCTTTTTGGTCTCAGCCCTGAAGAGACGTGGTACTTTGGCTCCCAGAATAGTTTTAGGAAGACAGGTTGTATTTTTACTTATCTATTCTTGGATTCTTCATTCCCTTTGCCAGCTAGCCAACGCTGGGCTCAGCGCTGCCTTAGCTTGCAAATAAGCTGTGGTTTTTGCCTTCTGTTTGCCTTCGGCAGCAATTCTATCCACTGATCAGCTGATCGTCATGATCGTCGCTTTCTGCGCAGCGTGATGATCAGACTTCCCTGGTCACAACATTTCCAGATTTCTGGTTGTTGGTTTTTTTTTTTTTTTTTTTTGCTGTTTTTACACAGAATTTTTAGATCTCGCCCTTTGCCTTCCCTCACGGACCGTCGTGGTGCCATTTTGAGGCTCACCGTGCATTCGTTGTCTTTTTGCCGGTTCCTTACCACTGTCTGCGTGGGCAATTAGGAAAATTACAATCCTTCTCAATAAAAGTTTTAACTGGCGAGGGACAGTATCCTGGAGTTCTGGGGGTATAGGGGCTCCTATATCTCTCACTGTGTTTCAGGTTCTTCTTTGTCTCTGCTCTCACGGGTGCCATTTTAGGCCACCACGTGGCTGACAAGGGAATTTTTTTCTGAACTCATTCCTCTCTGCACCATGCAGGTTTATTACATATTCATTGGCCTTTTTTATCAGCAGGCTCTCTTGGAATATACAGTGTTAAGCACCTCCACATCTTTGCATGTTAGGTTTCTCTATCTGTTAAACTACAACCAAATTGGGCTATTTCTTTCCTTGCCTGTTCCGCTGTCTGCATCTAGTGGCCTGGCAATTGCTGTCCTAGCCACCACTAAGTGAGACACAAGGGTCCCCCGTTAAAATAAATAAATAATAATAATAAAAATAATAATAATAAATCAATTGTTTATGATAACAAATAACCAAGGACAGTAAACAATTGGAAAGGGAGAGGACAACTCCCTGGGTGACGCATGCAATCCATCGTGCAATGTGACTCGTGTAGGCCTGTACCACCTAGATGGGCCGTAGCCTCATCTCCTGCAGACCAGGATAGCTTCAGCGATCTGCTGGAAAACTCCTGTTTTTTATTCACCATGGCGGATAACACCGTTTCACAGGCTTTCACTTCCAGTGGCAATAAGAAACATAAGTCGCCCAACCAAGAAGCGGCTGCGAAGATCAAAGCCAAGACTAAACGGACCTCTAAAACGGCCGAAAAGCAGGCTGGTAGCAGACACAGGGCACTGGAAAGGCAATTTTCCAAGGCCCAACAATGTGCAGTGGAGGTCCCACCAGCCTCAACCTCTCCCCCTCTTACATCCACAGAGGGCCCACACCCTTCGTCCTTTGCATGGGCTTGGTCCTCTGAACAAGCTTTAGAGCAGGGCTCTTCACTGGGGTTCGGCCAGGATTTTTCTCTCTTTGAACAGGATCTCAGAGTGCAGATTCAAGATCCGATACCAGGAACTGAACACATATCTCCCTCAGTCACTTGTGGAGCCCTGGGTAGCTTCTCCCTTATGTGCCCGTCCCAGGTTCCATCTGTGTCATTCACACCTACAGCGGCGGATCTCCGGTCCCTGAAACAACCATCATTCACTCTTCAGCTCCAGGCCATGATTTTGCAGGCAGTTGCTCAAGCCATGGCGGCTTCAGCGAGGGCCCCACTGGTCCCAGGGCCGTCAAACCCTCCTCCATCCGCGGGGACTGCACGGGCTGGGGATTATGAGTTCCTGGATCTGGCCTTGCTGCAGTATTCGGGTGGCAGCGTAGTATCTGAATATTCTGAACAGGCCCTCGAAGAGGGTCTGTGGTCAGATGATGAGGACACTCACATGGATGCCACTCCCTTGGTCGGCATGTTCAATCCTACCTTTTTCCCTTTGCTCTTGTGCAAGGCCTGCACCACTGGAAAGATCGAACAGGTGAGAGCCCAAGCATCCGATCAGGATTCTGGCCAGAGTTCTGATCCGCTGTTTTCGGAACCAGTCACCAAGAACCAGCAGATACCTTGCCCTCCCATGTTTTTGAAATCCGTTCAGGATCAATGGGGATCCCCTGGCACCTTCTCAGCTCTTGGGGGAATAGACCGCAAACTTTTAGATACGGTCTCTACCCTCAATGACGCATTGGAGGTTCCAGGAGTAGACGAGTCTCTTTCTCCCATTTTGTCAGACTCCAAGATCCCAGGGGATATGTCTGAAGCTCTGAAGGCCGAGGACAAAAAATTCGAGGTTTCCTTCCATAGAACACACCAGGCCTCGGCGTGGGCGATAAGAGTTCCACATCAAACTCCTTTTTCACCAGGATTTCACTGCTGTGGCTTCACGAACTTCAGTCCAGGATCTCCCCGGACGAGTTAAGAATGCACCAGGATGTCACAAAATTACAGGCAGCACTAGAATACATGGTGGACGTGTCTCTGCAGTCGGCCAGGTTCTCGGCCCATACCATACCCTCTAACATTGCCGCACGTAGGTTGTTCTGGCTTAAGAACTGGCATGCCAATATCAGGCATAAATGGAGGGTGGCTGCTGCCCCGTATAAGAGCGGGCGTCTCTTTGGGGAGGCCGTCACTCCTTACCTGGTGGAAAACAGAGAAAAGAAGAGAGTACTCTTTCATCTTTCCAAAAGAACAGGCAGACGTTTTAATCCATACAACCGCCGTCCCTCTTTTCGGGCAGGCTTGGACCAGGCTTCGGGGAGCGGATTTTTCCAGCAGGGTCGGATCATTCTTCAGACTGGTCCGGCTACAGAGACAGGCCCAAACCACAATTTCAGAACAAATGGCCCTTTCGTGGTAGGGGAGGTCGTCCCTTCCATAGGTCAAAATGACTCGGAACGGACTCCTCCTATAGGCGGCAGACTGGTTTATTATTTCCACAAATGAGAAGACACCACCACAGACACTTGGGTTCTCACCACCATCAGAGACGGTCTATCCCTGGAGTTCTTCACACACACATTCTCGGCGGTTTATTGCGTGTCCCCTGTCATGAAATCCCATAAAGCAGGGTCTCATGAAAGAGGCCATTCAACATCTACTAAATATAGAGGCCATAGAGCAGGTGCCTTTGGATCAATTGGGGCAGGGGTTCTACTCCATCCTCTTCATGGTTCCGAAAGCCTTGGAGGGATGGAGAGCGATACTTGATCTCAAGGTTCTAAATTCGTACCTAATGTATCACAAGTTCAAGATGCAGACTCTTCACTCCATCTTGGCTAGCATTCGTCAGGGGGATTGCCTGATGTCAATAGATCTTACAGAAGCATACCTTCATATTCCCATACATCCGGATCACCGACAGTTTCTCAGATTCAGGTATTCCAACCATCATTACCAATACAAGGCCCTGCCATTTGGCCTATCATCAGCCCCCAGGGTCTTCACCAAGGTCCTGGCAGTTCTAGCTGCACAGCTCAGGTTGGTGCCGGTCCGCATTCAGTGTTACTTGGATGACATTCTAATCCAGTCGTCCTCGGCACTCAATGCTCAGTCGGACGTGGCTCTAACAATCAAGATGCTCCAGGATCATGTGTTTTTGATCAACTTCCAAAAGAGCCACTTGACTCCAGTCAACCGACTGTTACATTTAGGCTCAATAATAGATACCAATCTGTGCCAAGTTTTCTTATCTCAGGAACATCAAGTCAGCATACGGACTCTGATCCTCAAGGTGCGCAGGGAAAAACAGGTGACCCTAGCCCTGCTCTCGAAGCTGTTGGGGAAACTGATTTCATGCATTGCCATAGTGCCCTGGGCCAGATTCCATACGAGACAGCTCCAGTGGTTTCTGCTTCCCTACCAGAGGTGAGGCGTAGCCTGCTTTCCCCAGAGGGTACGGGTCCCAGCACAGACGCTCACATCCCTTCTCTGGTGGCTATCCCCGGCTCTGTCCAAGGGATCCCTTTTCAGGGAACCGGTCCGAGTAACCTTGACCACGGATGCCAGCCTATCCAGATGGGGGGCACACCTCCAATTTCAATTCGCCCAGGGTCAGTGGTCCCACCGGGACCTCAAACAGAACATCAACTGGCTAGAGCTCAGAGCTACACACCTGGCGCTTCGCCATTTTTGCAAAATGATTGCGGGTTGTCACATGTTGGTCTTGACGGACAACGTGGCGGCAAAAGCCCATGTAAACAGGCAGGGCAGAACTCAATCTCGGGCCCTGATGTCCAAAGCCCGGCTACTAGGATCATGGGTGGAGCGGAATCTTCTTTCCCTGAAGGTGGAGCATATCTCAGGGGAGGCGAACCAACAAGTGGATTACCTGAGTTGCTCTACAGTAGATCATTCAGAGTGGCATCTGCATCTCTGCCTCTTCTGGGAGATCACACATTGGTTTGGTCGACCCACGGTCAACCTATTCGCCTCCCCAGCGAACGCCCAACTTCCCCGGTTTCTCTCTCGGTTTCCCTCTCAGGGGTCGGAAGAAGCAGATGCCCTCCGCAGTCCTTGACCAGAGGGACTGCTGTATGCCTTTCCACCTTTTCCTCTGATTCCAGCTGTCATCAGGAAACTGTTGCAGGAACAAGGGTAGCTGCTATTTGTGGCCCCACATTGGCCAAGGCGACCATGGTTCGTGGATCTTGTGAACCTTGATGTAGCTCCTCCATGGAGAATTCCTCCAGATCGAATAATTTTAACGCAAGGGGTCATACAACACCCAGACCCGCAGTGGCTCCAATTAGCCGTCTGGCATCTGACCGCCAGTTCCTGACATGGGGATCTTACTCCTCAAGAGTGATATCAATGATTCATGCTTCTAGGCAGCCGGCAACAAATAGGATCTACGATGCCACTTGGAGAAACTTCTGCACTGGTGTGATTACAATGGCTTGTCCATCTCTTCTGTCACTATCCCGAGGATACTGGAGTATCTCTTGGAGGGAGTGGATATGGGCCTAGCACCCAGTACTATCTGCAGGCAAGTGGTGGCTCTCTCCACAGTTTTCACATGTGCCAATTCTGCACTGTTGTCTCAAAACCCAAGGGTGCGATCCTTTATCAAGGGGGTTACAAATAGCAAGCCTCCTGTAGTCCATCATTACCCCACTTGGAAGTTGCCCCAGATTCTACAGGCTATTGTAGGATCCCTCTTTGAACCCATCAGATCTTGTACTCTTCGTCTCTTGTTTCATAAGGTGGCCTTCTTGGTGGCAATCACATCAGCAAGGCGTGTTTCAGAACTGGCAGCTCTTTCTGTTAGGGAAGACTTGTGCACCTTCCACCATGACAGGTGGTACTGGGGTTGGACCCTTTGTTCATCCCCAAGGTAAACACATTGTTTCATCGGACACAGGAGATCGTGTTACCGGACTTTTGTCCCAACCCGTCACACATCCTGGAGCAGCAGTGGCATTCCCTGGACGTGCGCAGGGCACTGCGTTATTACCTTAAGAGGACTGCACCTTTTTGTAAATCTGAGGCACTTTTTGTCTACTATTGCCTGGTGGATTAAGGCCTGCATTGCAGAATCATACCAGGTTTGCTCCTTGCCAGTTCCAAGCAGTATAACGGCACATTCCACATGCAATGCTTCCACATCGGCTGCGTGGCAAACTCAGGCTTCCATAGTTGACATCTGTAGGGCAGTGACGTGGTCATTGCCTTCACCCTTCATCCGTTACTACAAGCTCGACAAATTGCTTCTGCAGATGCTTCTTTCGGCCGCCGGGTCTTACAACAGGTGGTACAATTCAACACCAACACTTGACCAGCCTGCGGCCCACCCATGGGGTCACATAGGCTTTGGTATGTCCCATTCATGGATTCTACATTCCTTCCATGCTGAAGAAGGGGCATTGTCTTACCTGAACACCTTTTCTCAGCATGAGGAATGTAGAATCCACCCTCTCCCTTTCAATTCCGAAGTCAGGTCAGTGTCAGCAGTCTGGGAGCCAACATGTCACACAATCATTGGCTTCACCCTTTTTGAAACTGGGGCATGGTCCAGTCCTGCAGGGGCGTGGCAACTTTGATTGATTGGTCTAATTGGGCTAGAGGACTTCTAAAACCCATTCATGGATTCTACATTCCTCATGCTGAGAAAAGTTGTTCAGGTAAGACAACGCCCCCTCCATGATGCCCCAGAGAGGGCTGGTGGTTCAACTTTATACAAGCTTCTTTTACAATTGTACCATAATGCAAAGATGCACAGTCTCAAAGCTTATGAGCGGTCATCAGGGATGAAAATTTAAGATTATCTAAGACTATGTCTAGACAAAAGCTTTTTTCCCCCTCATTATGCCACTGCTCTTTCATTTCTTGTTTCTCAAGGAATGCAATGAATTGACCACAGAACTCTGTTCTGTGATCATTTCAAACAACCTACACAATAGAAATCTACACTATTTTGCCCATCCATCCAGGATTTAGATAAAGTGTTCTTTCCCCTGTTTACTTCCAATAAAATGGCAGTGGCAAATATGTGTGCACTGCTGTCTTCGCATCTATTTTGTTGTACTACTTTACACTTAATTCCAGAAATATCATTATTGCAAACATGCATATCTTTTTTTTTAAAAAAAAAATTCCCACTGAAGTTTTGGAAGCACTAAGAAGCACTGTGTATCACTGTTTATCAAATAGCAAGCAAGCTTATTCCTCTTTTAGTAATTAAGGAAGCAAAATGGGTAGCTCTATGTGACATCCATTGTAGATAAAAAGGGCATAAGATTATAGGCCCCCAGTATTTGTTGACAGAATTAATTGCTTAACCTCTTTCTCTTCCCTCCTAGGTGACCTGCTTCCTGCCGACGGAGTGCTTATTCAGGGGAATGATCTCAAGATAGATGAGAGCTCCTTGACGGGAGAGTCAGATCATGTTCGCAAATCAGGGGACAAAGATCCCATGTTGCTATCAGGTGAGGGACATCTGACAGTCTTCCTAGATCAACCAGACAAAAAACATGACAAGATGAACTAATTCTACCTTAGAGTAAAGCTACATTAACTTTAACAGAACCTTACAAGTCTAAAGACACAAAGTATCCACCTCCACGTTTAACTAGGGCAAGTCTTTCCTAAGTTTCTTTCTCTGACGTTATGCAACTGTGGGCTCCTACCGCTCTTATCCGATTGTTTCCTAAGCAGCATCTCTTCTCTTTCCCCAAGGTCATCTATATATTCCACTACAACTCTGGCTTAAAATAGTCACCTGAGACAGTAAGATTTGGCAGGTAAGGCACTGGGCTAGAAGTTGGGAGTTCTAGTCTTGCCTTAGGCACAAAGTCCTCTGGGTGACTTTGGGCTAGAGACTCTCTAGGAAGCTAGAGACTCTCTAGCCCTAGGAAGTTTGCAATGGCAAACCATTCCCGAAAATCCTTGCCAAGAGAACTACAAGGACTTGTCAAGAGTTAAAACCAATTCAAAGTCACAATATGTATGTCTTCAAAAACCATTACAGTTAATCTTTCTTTTTAACAAAGGTTAAGTATGAGACTACTTCAAAACTAAGTAGCAACATAATAATATAACCATATTAATATATATCAAATCTACTACTCTATATGTAAAAATAAGGTGAAGAAAATATATCTATTCCTTTCTGTAAGTAACTCCTGTCTATCTCTCCTAGGACCTCTTATAGCATGTAAAGGATGTCGGGACCTACAGGTTTCTCTTGCTTTCTGCACATGTGCTATTATGTGATTTATCATTTTTGTCCAAGATGCGATTTGCGCCAGCATAAATTTGTTCCAAAGGTCTGGAAATATGCCAAGGTTTTTCCCACTGAAACTGCTTGAACATTTTCCCTCGAAACACCCTTTCCGCCCTCTAAAACTTTATGAGCACATTTGTTGATGCATTTCAGTTATAGAATTTGGCATCATGTCCCACACAGCCTTTTTTCCCCAGGGGGACAGTATCTTGCTTTCTGCAAATTCATTTTTATGAGAAGTTTTCAGGGAACATCAAGCTTGGCACAAAGTGAGGGAAGCCTATTGAGGCTTAAGCTTAATAGGAACACGGGAATGGTGGAATGACGCTCATTTCTATTTTTCACACTGGGTACCAAATTCTTCAGAGGCTTCTGGGCCCTGTGAGGCTCTTCTAAGAGTTAAATATATCTGTAGCACCTGCATTTGGGCTCTGCAGAGAGTTCAAATAATATAGCAGCAGAAAAGGTACAATCTCTTGGCCTTACATCTTCCAATTCCAAGTCCTTTTTTCCCCACAAAAACCCAAAGGTTGGTGTTTTTCTAAGCCACAAAAGGTCCCACACCCCACAGGCATGGAACAGCCAAAAGCCCATTAATCTTTTGTTTTCTGCTCACAGCCAGATCACATTTGGATGAATCACTGGCATGAATTATACTGTACAAGTTACTGGCACTGATTAGAAATATGGAGCTTTTAAAAGCAAGATGCCACAAGAAAAATTTAAGCTAAGCCAAGATGTACATCTTCATATCGAATCTCTCAGCTCTGGAGAAAGTGTCAAAGGGCTTTCATTACTTGCTAAGGAACAATCCAAGGACTGAGTCAGCTCCAAAGAAGCAGGGACCACATGAGATAGATGAGCTGTACGGAGATAAAACTCAATGGATTTCAGATGTTGCCCACAAGCTATATTCCTTTGTTTTCAAAAAGGAGTACATCATTCTGGTGCTAAGGCATTCCCTATATTTTGGGAAGTGCTTTACCGCTATTTTATCACTTTGGGGGCTGAGCCTTAATTAGTAATATCTACACTAAACAGCAGTGTGCTTCTTTATATGGTCAAGATGATCTCAGGGCGTGATCTAATGGGGCAAATCTGGTTCAGATACACTAAATCCTAAATGGCAGCCTAACAATGTGTAATTGCTGTGGCTTAATGTGATGGCCTGTTTCAAATGATATGATTGAGCAACTGCTAAGATCTTTCAAGATACTGAAATACAAAACTCCTAACTTGATTTTAGCCCCCCTAGTGATTTATCTGAAACCAGTCATAGAATGCTAGCCAGGCCTCTCAAGTTTCTTTGACATACCTCTCAAACCGAAACGATGTACTCAATAGCAATAGCAAAAGCACTAGACTTATATGCCGCTCCACAGTGCCTTGCAGTACTCTCTAAGCAGTTTACAGAGTTACCATACTGCCCCCCAACAACCCAGGTCCTTATTTTACTGACCTCGGAAGGATGGAAGGTTGAACCAACCTTTAGCTGGTCACAATCAAACTCCTGGCAGTGGGCAGAGTTAGTCCACAATACTGCATTCTAACCACTGCGCCACCAGGTCTCCTAAATAACTTAAAGAGTCATCCAGTAGTTCCCTGGGGCAGCAGATCTCGTAGAAAGTTCCAATGTTGTTGTTGTGGGTTTTTTTTGAGAGGAATTAGTCTTACATTATGGTTAACTCTTCAGGAGGAAGCATAGATCTCTTTAAGACCCAGGCTGACAACCAGTGGCTTACAGCAGCAGAGTTCAGATTTGCAAAATCAACACTGTTGTGTAATTACTGTCATTTGCTAGAATGTTGAGATCTATCAACTGCAGCATGTTAGTTCTGGTGAGCACCCATCAGTAATTCCTTCATCCAAATGTCTCTTTTCCCAATGTGTTGCTGCAGCCAAGCAATTCAGTTCGGTCTAGCCTGGTTAAAGCACCAGGCTAGAAACTAGGACACTGTGAGTTCTAGTCCTCCTTCAGGCATGGCTTTGGGCCAGTCACTCTCTCAGCCCAACTCACTTCACAGGGTTATTGTTGGGGGAGGGGGGAAGAAGTATTGGATATGTTTGCTGCCTGGAGCCATTTGTAAAAATAATAAAGGCAACAAATAATAAAGGATAGAAATAAATAAACAAACAAATTCTGGAAAAAATTCTCATCTGCTTTTAAGAGTTATGACAGGGGTTCCAAACATATTTTTTTTTCCCTTCAGGTCCCAAGTACTGCACAGTCCTATGAGAACCTTCTGCGATCGTTTTGCAAATCATGCCATCAGTAGATGTCAAATAACTCTGTACCTTTTCCAGGGTAGCTCACCTTGTAAATGAACCCAGAAGGTCTATTTCTTGGGTTCCTAACATTCCACTTAGTATTCCTCTGACTTTTCTTTTGATTTAGGCACCCACGTCATGGAAGGCTCTGGGCGGATGGTTATCACTGCTGTTGGAGTCAACTCACAGACTGGGATCATCTTTACTGTGCTGGGTGCTGGCGGGGAAGAGGAGGAAAAGAAAGAGAAAAAAGGTAAGGTTTGCTCTCTGGTCCAGGTAAGCACTTCCCTGGTGTACCTCTGGATCCATTGTTCTGCATGCCAGTCTTCATGCTCACATCAGCTCTCTTGTTGGCTGAAGCTAGGGCATCAAGATGCATTTCAGAGCTGTTCCACATAAAACATCTTCAAAAACATCCAACATTTGCAGAAGGTATCTATAGTTTCTGCATAACTGGCACAAAGATGAACCTTTCTTCTTGAGCATTGCTTGCTTCCCTTTGTTATCTACCAAGGCTATTGATGTGCCACTGAGATCCCTTCTGAACCTTTTGGTAACCATTTTACTCCCCAGCCTAACCATCATTCCCAAATAGCGCTGTCTGGGCTACTTCAGTTGGGTAGTCTACATTTTAGGTAGAGTTTGCTAGAGTTGGAAGAGATGTTTATGGGAGATGTTTGCACAGAGTAGATTGGTCATACTCTGGAGCAGTACTTCTCAATCTTGGCCATTTTAAGATGTTTGGACCTCAATTCCCCAATTCCCTGGTCAGCATGTCCATGCACCTTAAAGCTGTCAAGGTTGAAAAACACTGTTCTGAATTATCTAAGAACTGAGATAGAATAAATATTCTGGAACCATTGCTCAATGCTTGCTCAGTAGGACTTTTCCATATAACTATTTTCCCAGCACAATATTCCCTACGATCAATACTATAATTCTGAAATTCTCAAGAGAATCCTGGCTGGACATTTTTGTAGCTATAGTTTCAAAGGCACTAGGTTGAGAAAAGGCCGTTTTGGTAACGCTGTTTTATCATCTCACTCTACTTTACCTTCTTTTAATTGGATCCCGTTCTTTTCCAAAGATGTCTCATTCAGTGTTAGGAATCCATTCATCTTTTCTGCTCTCACCATTCCTTCCTTCCTTGGCTTCACAAGCCTTTCTTCTCCTTACTTGCCAGGGAAGTCCCTGCACTGCATTCTGACCCTTGATTTGTCCTCTTCTTCTCCCTATGCAATTGGGAGAAGGTATAAAGAATCCAACTCAACCAGTCATAGGCATTGCTCGGGCAAGCCATTCACCCATGTGATCAGTTTATTTGAAATATTCTCCCAGCAATATACAAAAAAGTGACTCCCACGCAGTTGGGAGAACACTGAAAGGGCACTACTTGTGCAATAACATTTGAGTCAGTACGCTTGGATGAATAGTGCTGAAGTTTGACTCAGCTTGCTGAATTATGGTTCATCATTTTTGGAATCTGCCTCAGCAAGGAACTGGGCACAACTCAAAGCTTTGGTATTTGCTTCATTGTTGTTGCTTCCATATAGCAAGACTTATTAACCATGTTAACTCTCTAAGAAATTAGAAAAACTGCTGCAGCTTCTTTCCCTATCAGTGTAAAATAAATAGCTGATGTTCAAAGAAAAAAAAACTGGTGCAAGAGAAAAGTGTCCCATTCTCCCTAAATTCCCTTTTTTATTCCATCTGAATAATAAGCAACTTAAATCTGTGTTAGCTTGTTAATTATGTTCAAAATTGTATTGATTTAATGCTGGCCCTAAAAAATCTACTACAATACAATTAACCCCTATTCAAAGAACAATTGAGCTAAGGGGATAGTAGTACCGAATTCTTCGTAGCAAAGGGATTTTAAATAAATGGCATCTTAAATAATTACTTTATTTTGTTATTCACTTATCTCATAGGAAGTTTGGGGGTTTTATATTGTGAGTTTTTAATGTTGTAAGCCTCTCAGAGTTGTTGTCTGTGAGTTGGGTAACCTGGTGGTTTCTACAACACTTCCATATTTTTAGTTTTTATTTTTTGACAAAAAGCCATTTATGTCAATCTAAAACTTCTACATTTATGTCAATCTAAAACTTCTACTTTATGTCAATCTAAAATTTCTAAAACTTCTACTGGCTGAAGCATTGCCAATATCTCAGTCAAAAACTATGTTAGCCAATCACTGTCAAGCAATCTTCCTCACCCAATAAAACTCACAATACTTATTTAACCATCTCTCTCCATAATAAGTTGGCTTCCTATTTTATCATTTTCCTACCTGCATGTCTTCCTAACATTCCCTATTGCCAGGTCATTGTCAGAAGATGCATGTAATACTGTAGTGACTTTACTCTAGTTAGTTATTTATAAGTTAGCAGACATAACTCTGGTCAGAATCTGGACGTGAAATCATTTGTGAATCCTTTCCTATGTACACTTTCCCTTTAGGTACCCATCACAGAATTTAAATACAATGGTAAATTGTCCCACTGTCATAATGCATTAATAATTAGCATAATGCATTAATTCAAGTGCTAAGTGACTGCATCCAAAATGACGCAATATCATCTATCATTAACATCAGCCATGATGAGTGTTTAGTGCCAGAATAATTATCCATTGTTTCACTAATATGTTAATAAATGTGGACTGAAGACTGACATCTTGGCTGTTTGTCTTGGAGGGCTCTGATGTTGAAACTAAGATATCATGTATCTGGTAGAGCAGAAACCTGACTCCTGTTTTTCTCTGCATTTTTGAAGGAGTAGGGAAATTATTTATGATAGCATAATCTTAAGCAAAAGTAGAGTTGGAGATCATCAGCACACTGTTGACACCCACTTCAAAACTCCCCAGCAGTTTCATATATTTGTGAACAATATGGTAGGGACATTTTCTCCCAAGACCATTCTGGGCAAGAAAGATCACAAGTACTTTAAAACAAAACCCCATCAAACTCAGATTTGGTATCAAAAGTTGCTAAGAAATCCATGAGAATTGGCAGGATAGCACCTTCCCACCCAGCTTCTGGTTAAGGTCATTCCTAAGCCAGCAGAGTTTTTAGCAGTTGTTAGCTGAAGTTGGCCATCAATTTAGTCATTGTCTGTGGTCATTCTCCTTACACTATAGCCTACAAATTATCTATTAACAACTCATCAGAGAAAACTAAGTAGAAATCAGCAATTATCCTAACTGATTGGTTCTGGCTCAACAATCTAAGCAAATGTCTTTACCAATATCTTGTCTCTTTTTCCTATTATCTCCCATCTCCCTCCACAGTTTTTTTAATTTTTCTACACACCATGCATATCTCAATAAAAAAAACTTCTTCTTCTTCTTCTTCTTCTTCTTCTTCTTCTTCTTCTTCTTCTTCTTCTTCTTCTTCTTCTTCTTCTTCTTCTTCTTCTTCTTCTTCTTCTTCTTTCTTCTTCTTCTTCTTCTTCTTCTTCTTCTTCTTCTTCTTCTTCTTCTTCTTCTTCTTCTTCTTCTTCTTCTTCTTCTTCTTCTTCTTCTTCTTCTTCTTCTTCTTCTTCTTCTTCTTCTTCTCCACCTTCTGCTTCTCCTCCTCTTCTTCCTCCTCCTCCCCACCACCCCCTTCCCCCCCTCTCCTCCTCTTTCCTCCTTCTTCAAATAAACGTAGTTCTTTAGTATTTTGTGTTGGTTCAACTCAAAGGATGATACCTCTGTCATCTCAGAAACATCTGATCAAGAAAATAAAAAAAGAAAGTGAGAATTTTGGTCTATTTCTGAACATCAAAAAGACCCACCTCATGACCTCTGCAAGGAATGGAAACATCAAAATAAAAATTAACAGTGAAGAGATAGAATGCATGGAAAAATTCATTTTCCTAGAATTGCAGATCATTCAAAGCAGTAAATGCAGCCCAGAAATAAAACGTTGGTTTGCACTGGGTCATTCAGCAATAACATACTGTACATGAGCCGATTATGGAAAAGCAAGGACATCAGCCTGGCCACAAAATGTAGGTTAGTCCACTCTAATGTGTCCCCCATAGCTACCTATGGTTGTGAAAGTTGGACCTTAAAAAAAAGAAAGACAGGAAGAAAATCGATTCATTTGAGCTGTGGTGCTGGAGAAGGCTCCTGTGTATTCCTTACATGGCAAAGATGACCAACAAGCAAGTACTAGAGCACATAACCCCAGACACGTCACTGGAAGACAAAAGTACAAAACTGTGCCTCACTTATTTTGTCCATGTCACATGGGGAAATTCACTGGAGAAAGCAATTACGTTTGGAAGAGATAATGGTAAAAGAAAACCAGACCTTGCTGGCTGGATACCATCAAAGCTGACACAAGCCAGAGCACAGAACTGTCTCAAAGAAGTAGTGCTAGATCAGAAGATGTGGAGACCTGGCCCATAGAATTGCCAAGAGTTGGATGTGACTGAATGGATAACATCAGCAGCAGCAGCTTGAAGGGAGAATACCAGGGCCACTGGGGAGAATATATCAGCACCTGTGCCATTTGTTGGAAGAACTGATCAGTGAATCTCCTTTAATACTTGCAGATGCCTATACTGTTCAGGCAGGAAGGTACCTTGACACAAAGTAGGGAATGTTGTATTGCCCCACAATACAACATTCCATGGCCAGGCCTGCCCCCTCACAATAGCTGCCACTCCAGTTGTCATATTAATGTTGCTTCTGTCTTCCCTGAGCCCCACTAATTTTGGCCTCTGTTGTGCCTTCCCTTTCCATACATACCAGCATCCTCTCTGTGCTGGATTCCTTCTTTCACTGATTCCCTTCTCAAGGCCAGATCAAAAGTTACCAGCACAGAGAGTATAGGAGATATGTGTGCACTGCTATATCTCTGAGTATCCAAAGAATGCATAATCATCTGCACAAGCCAGTTATGAACATCCACAAGAACAAAAGAAGAAACTTATTGGTTCATATCTCAGTCTAGTCTCACAGTATTCCAGGGAGATGACAAGCAGGAGCTGAAAGAAACACTCCTTGTTACTTCCTGAAAACATAATTGCAAGCAAAACATTCCATCCCTGATGGAAATTTGTGCATGTTCTTTCATTCTTGCATGTTCTTTAATGATGGCTCCTCTACATAGAAAGGAATGCATTCATCAGGCATCACATATTTCAGTTAAGTCTATAACAGTGACATGCATGCCACTACAGTTGGGCAGCTGATAAATTTTAGTATAATTGTGGTTGAAAAGAAGAAAGTGGATAATTGATCTGGCAACACCAGGAAATATAGAACAGAAGGCAAAGAATTGGAGAAGATCACTAAGTATCAAGACCTGAAAATCAAAATTGAAAGATTATGACATAAACCAGCCATAATGGGCCAGTGGTTATTGGCACACTGTGTCCATTCCCAAAAAAATTTGGATGGCACTTAGGAAATCGGCACGTTGACATTTTCATCTTTCAATAGTAAAAGGCCACACTGTTTAGATTCACACATAGACTATGCTGATACATTACAACATTCTGGGTTCTTGGGAAGAACCTGTTACATATGAAGGCCAATACCAGCTAGAGAACTGGCAGCTGTGACTTTACATTATTGTGAACAGATAATAATAATAGGCAATAGGTGGAGGAAAATATCAAATCCAATCTAAGTGTCTAGCCGGCTCTGTGGACAACCATAATAATCCATTTTGGACTCAGCCAAGCTCCTGCTGTTCCTCTTAGAAATTATCTGGACTTATCTGCTCATTCTACAGGTTGTTTTTATAGTCTTCCCTGAGTTTTAATCCTAACCATCATCAGGAGGATACAATAAATTACAGGTGCTGCTTACATAACACTAAAAAAGAGAAAGAGTTTCACTTCTTCTGGATGAAAGGAAAATAAATGTATAATATATCTCTCATTCTAACAGTTGATGAAGAACTTCAAGAAATGTGTTCATTCTTCTTTTTTAGCCTGTCAAAATAAACTCAGGCTGGACAGCTTTTCTAGGACAGGGTCCATCCCAATAAACACCTATCTTCTAGAAAGTGGGACATCTGGTACCTTAGAACAGGAAGCCAATAAGTGCATTAAGGATGAGGAGACCAGGCCTTCTCTTGTTCTGGGCAAAAAGAGGTCAAACAAGAGAGTGAGAAGTAACAAGGCAGAGAGATGGAGACAATCAGATATTTTGCCTGAAGCATCTACAAGAAGTGATGCTGTCACTACCAGCATCAAGCAGAATCATCACATGGTCAGTTGTGATTTATGAAGAAGATTTTTATCATCTTTTTAAAAGTCATGCTGGGACAATCTTGCTTGGCTTAGTTTCTTTAAGGAGAATGTTCTTTGGTAGAAAAGCTGTTTCTTTTTTTTTTTTAGTACATTCCACTTTAAACACCAATAGATCTCTCTATGTTCATTGCTATATTTACATTTCTCCCAGTTTTGCAGATCCTATACTATGTTTTCACTTATCCTGTTTGAGTATCTTATCCTTGAAATCAGTCGAGATTCCACCCTTTTTCTTTTTTTTACAGGAACCTAAAACTATCCCCATTCTTTTCAATAGATATAGTTCAATCCAATATAGCGGTAGATTAAAACCACCAGATTAGGCTCATTTCTTCTAGTTATAGCTATATGTTGCTTGCGCCTGCACTAATGATCCTCGGCCATGTGTTCTCCAAATGTGGGACTACAACCCCTGTCATATCCAACCAGCCATTGGCTGTTGTGTTACAATAATGGAAGCTACAAACCAGTATAATTGGTAGGGATCAGATTGGAAAAGACTGATCATATCCTACAGGGCATAGTGGGAGGAGCTTTATCATGATCTAGGCTCTCCATAGTATGTATGTGTGTTTGTGTCTGTGCACGCGCGCGCACGCGTGTGTGCATGTGTGCATGTTGTACTGGTGCTGTGTTGTCTGTTCTCAAGTGTCCTGTGTTTGTCGTTCCCTTTTTCTGTTGTAGGGAAGCAGCAGGATGGGGCAGTGGAGAATAATCAAAACAAAGGTAAATGTTTCCCCATCGTATCTCCTGAGTGCCTAGATTTAGTTGGAGATGCCAGCGATATCAGAAAGACATAACATTCTCCAGAGCTTGATAGTCTATCTCAATATTTTTTTAGTTATACCATAAGTTCCAATGCATTCTTTGTAAGATTTTTTCCAATAGTAACAAGACTAAACTTGATGATCTGAGGTCAAGATATTTGTCTATTTATTTATTTTGTTTATATTTCCTATTTTTTATTTTGCAAATGTTTCATGGCCTATTAAGTATCTATCTATTCCCCAACAAACTCTATTTCTTCAAGATTATAGCCCTGAAGATGTTAGCTAGATGGATTATAAAAGTCTGCACATGAAAAATGAAACTCAGAGAACCTCTACAACACATTAGTTAATTAAATGCTATCAAGTTCAGTTCATTTCCTAGGAATTGTAGGAATAAATATGTGTCATTTGGACCTGTCTTTTAGCTCTTCCAGGAAGATGTCAATCATCCGGTACTAGGACCAATCAAAATACACCAAACTAACTGTATTTAGAGTCATAATATATAGTTAACCTCAGGTGTTTGAATTACATCTTTAGAGGTGCTGTTGAACCCTAGGATTCTAGGGTATAGTAGCAATTGATATTTGATTGACTGTGAATTTAGTCTTCAGATTTAAATAAAACACTTCTGGTTAAACAAAGCATAGAAATTTAAAAAAGAAAAAGAAACATGGTGGATGTTGAGTTTTTGAAGTGGAAACTGATATTGGATAATGCACTTAGGTTAGATTAGTAGATAAGACCTCAATGCATCCTATTCTTTTCAGCCACTGGTCATGCTCACCATAGCTGATAAAGGCTGGATTTCAACATCTGGATGCCCATATCCCCACTTCATCTAACATACACAGTTTAATAAGGAACCTCACTTAATCCTGGATTTTCTACCAGTTTACAACCTAGAACTAGAGGCATGCAAATGTTTTAGTCAGATTCTATTTTCTCTTCATTTCCAAGCTAAAAGAAATCTGGCTCCATCTACCAGACAATATCAGAGTTGCTTTGATTAACCAACCTTCTCTGTAATATCAGCAGAAAAGTAAAACAAGATATACAGTATGTTATTAAGATGCTATACTAGATGCTATACTATATTATATTTGCTGGACTTTGAACTGAATGTTGAACTTTTTGAACATTGAACCTTTTTGGCAGTAGACCTGTCAAAAGAGCTTCTTTCCAAGGAAGAATAAAATGCAATATGCCTATTTGGAAAAATAAGCATCTTGTGCAAAAGACAGTGTTAGTAAAACTTCTGTTAAAGCATCGGAAAGTAATGGCTATTCAGCCTTAAAAGAGATGAGTGTCTTCTTCAATATATATTGTATATTGTATTTCTCTAGGTTCAGTATGCATTGAATGAATCAGAGAACAGTATGTCCCATCTGAGTTGCAAAATTTCTGGACCTATCATGAAAATAAGCTGAATGACTTTTCTATAACAGGTCCTAATGTTTGTTGAAAATCTCTTTTTCTCTCTCTGGAACTCACATTTTTAGAGCTCACTGGGGAAATCATTGCAGTTAAAACAAGCTAAGTTGGTTATAAAGATGTGTTCTATATACATTGGAAGAATTTCCATGAAAAGAATGTATGGGAATGATGTCCCAAAGGTGTTTTTTCAAGAGGCAACTGGACTGTCTTTGTTTTCTCTTGAAGACATTTCATTTCTGAAATGAAATCAGAACTGAAGAAGCTTCTTGGAAGAGAAGTGAAATGTCTTCAAGGAAAAATAAAAAAAAAAGTCCAGTTGCCTTGGAAAAGTACCTTTGGGACAACCATGACCTGGATGACTGAGAATCTCCATAGACATGGGAAGAATGGCACTTTTGTTTAGATAATTGATGTGTGCATGGATGTAGGTGAAATAGAGGAAGAGCAGTGGTTTAATTACTGATGGTTAAATAAGCCATGGTGATTTAGTCCACAGGTTATGATAAGTCAAAACCAAATAAAGTCATAACTCATTGGTAATGTATAAATCCAGGTCACTCTTAATATTAGCAATCAAAATATATTTTACAATAACATCATTTCCCTTAAACAAGTTGCTACATTCAGAAAAAAAAACAGGACTATTATAATGATCTATGATGTTGCCTGGGAACACACTTTATAAAAATCCAGGAATGAATCATGCAACTTGCAGTAAAAAGTAATTTTGAAAAACCACTGCAGCCCTAACATTGGACAAATTCTGCTTTACCCAATATATCCATTTTGATTATGGCAACAGTTGCAAAATTGCAAAAAGAACAGCAATTTATTATGGCCTTGCTTTTATGCCTTTAATAGAAGACTGAGTTCAAACCTCTTGCTAAGTCCTAAGTTTAAAAAAAGTACTTTGTTCACTGAGCTACAATTGGTTGGATTCACATTTCACTTTAAACCATAAACCATGGTTTATAAACTGCTACCAGTATGTCTAGTTTTACGTATCTTGCTAACCCAAAACTGAACATCATAGTGGTTTCGTACAAAACATACATTCAGTTACAGGCAATGAAGAAGTTTTTTATGGAGATCAATAACTAGGAAATATCTGCCTTATTTTATTTTATTTTATTTTTTGTAACATACCAGGATGTTATTTATAAACAACTGGATGTTATTTATAAACAACTGGATCAAGAAAAGTAAAACGCACAGACACAAACAAAAGGGCAAGCATAGTAGCAGAATTATAATAAAGAGTCAGCAATTCTGGCGAAACCATATTTGTTCCTTTCTCTCTGCAGCCAAAAAACAGGATGGGGCAGTTGCCATGGAGATGCAGCCCCTGAAAAGTGCCGAGGGTGGTGAGATGGAAGAGCGGGAGAAGAAGAAGACCAGTGTGCCCAAAAAAGAGAAATCTGTCTTGCAGGGGAAGCTCACCAAACTGGCTGTTCAAATTGGGAAAGCAGGTAAGAGGACAGTGAGGTGGGCAGCTGCATTGTAGCAATGGTGGACACTTCTCTTTGGAAAGGGAAGTGAGCTTGGATGCACCACTGCTAATAAATGAATGAATAATATCCTTGGCTGGGAGAAGACCAGCTATGCAGTATGTATGAATCAGGCAAGGATTTGTCTTTTCATTGATTCCATATTAATTATTTATCCATTGTTACTCTTTGTCAATGTTCTAATTCGGTTTTAACAGTTTTAGAGGGTTAATGAACTAACCCTGACATTGAAACCATACTCGGGGTCATGGGAAGCCTAATTCATTCTTCTCTCTGCCTTTCGAGAGAAGCATACAGTACACGAAGACTCAGCCATGCCTTAGTCCTTATGAAAGACAGAACTGCTAAGTTATAGTTAAGGCCGCTTAGCTAAGAAGCTGTAATATCAAACAAATCAGGGTATCGTGTAAAGAGGATGTATTTATCTGAATGCTGATTCTTTGTATTTACCGTGTATCTGTTTTATTACTGTATTTAATCTATTTTTTATTATTTTATCCTATTTTATTTTACTTGATACCACTGTAAGACTAATCAATTAATAAACTATTTATTAAAGCTAAGTCTTTGCACTCAGGAAGATGGAGTGTATAAATTCATAGTGTTTGGTCGATCATTTTCTGCCGATTAAACTGGCCCAAAGGCCCTGTACCCAGTTTCCCATTATTTATGGTATTAAAAGGCACCTGTTCTTAAATAGGTCTGCTCCCTATAGTAGGGAGGGGAGGAAAATCCCCTTAAAACCTGCTCTTTTGGTGGAATCAACCTTGCCGATGGGCCGAGCAGATGCTGCCGAGAAGCTGAATTTCCCATCTCTATGGGATGGAAACAGACACATTATTATAATGTTACCATGAACCTCTAGTACTCCCTTAGGATCACATTACAAATAGAGTAGAAAGGGGGTGAGATTGCTCCTCTTTTCTCTACATACTTGCTTTGTTTCCTTGACTAGCCTCCCTCAATCGATGGTTCTAAAGATTGAACTTCTTTAACAGGTTTCATTCCTATTCTAGAGACATATGTTGCTGAAAAGAGATATAATTCCGAGGCCATCAGCCTGGAGAAGGCTGTTTAGATAGCAACAAGTCCCATCAGTTCGCATTTTAACAATGAAAATTTGTGGACTTGACCGAGCCTTGTGCCAAGAAGCCCTTTGGGGACTTTTCTTCTCACATTCTGGCTTTTAATACAAAATGTTCTCAAGTTGCAAGCTTATTTGCAGGGTGTGTGATTTCACAGATTCAGGTCTTGCTGTCACATCTCACTGTCTCTTTTCTTTCTTTCTTTCTTTTTTAATTTCCTCCAATCCTGCTAGGGCTGGTGATGTCAGCTATCACAGTCATTATCCTCGTCCTGTATTTCATCATTCAAACCTTTGTTATTGATGGAAAGACGTGGCTGGCTGAGTGCACTCCTGTTTACGTGCAATACTTTGTCAAGTTCTTTATTATCGGGGTCACCGTCCTGGTGGTGGCTGTGCCCGAAGGCTTGCCACTGGCTGTCACTATCTCTTTAGCCTACTCTGTCAAGGTGAGCGTTATGTCCCGAGTGCCTTCACTGGTTTTCTCTAAAATACACGGCTGGACCCTTGGCTATGCTCTTGTGTCATCTACTCTCATAAATGCTCTCTGATGGCCATCCCCCTTTGAAGCTCTGATGCAAGTTAACCTAACAGGAAAGTCTAAGACAGTGATGGCAAACCTTTTAGAGACCGAGTATCCAAACTGCAGCCCAAAACCCACTTATGTATCGCCGGGTGCCGGGTGGATGTGGACCGCTGGGTGGGTGTGTCTACAGTGGTCATGGCAGATGGGTGGGTGTGGTCAGGGTAGGCATGGCCAGCTCAATGTTGCTCCTGGGGAGGGACGCTTGTGGGGGCTGGGCAGGGTTGGGGGAGATCCTGGGGGTCTCTGGCTGGTGGAACAGTGGGCAGGAGGCTCGTCCTGCGGAGTGAGGTGAGGCAAGGTGAGGCAGGACGGGGGTACCATTGTCGCAGGGCAAGGCAAGGTAGAGGCTGGGGCAGTTGCTGCCTGACATCATCGAGCCCCGCACACAGAGGCCAGCGAGTGCATGGGTGCTGGTATGCATCTGGCCACGTGGGACCTCAGTGAGTTAGCAGGCGGCTGGTTGAAGAGGGATGGTTACCATCTCCGGGGCATAGTGCGCGTGCCCACAGAGAGGGCTCTGAGTGCGCCCTCTGGCATGCGTGCCATAGGTTCGCCACCACTGGTCTAAGAAGATTTGCAGACTAGATCACAAGGCAGATCATCATCAATCACCTTGAAAATGGTGCACTCATGATTAAGAATCAGCATGCATTTGTCAAGAGCTATTTTCACCAGATTGCTGGTTAATTTATTTTCTAAATCAATAATTTCCTTAATAAATTGTAGGAATACCAACTTTTGAAGAAGTATCCGTGGTTCACTGATTAGCAAGCTACTTTAAGCATGGGTGAAATAGGACAATTAGGTAGATTGTCATTAATGGTTAGCTCTCTAATGGATTCTCATCCAACTGGAATAAGATATCGTTCCTGGATCTTATGATCTTTAATTTTCGGATTAATAAGTGGGATGAAAAGGCTAAACAAATGCTTACCAAATGTACAGAGGAGACAAAAGTTTCAGGGATGCCCAACATTTAGAGAACAGAAATAATATTCAAATAAAACAAAAGTATCCTGATAGGTTATAGAAATGAAAGTGACAGCAGGAAGTGTAACAGAGGAAATGGAGAATTCTTCAGGTAGGAAACAATAACCACTCATCCAGATACAGAACGGGCTATGAAAAAGATCTTAGACTTAGAGGAATTTTATTTTTATTTTTTATTTAGGGTATGGCATGTACAGAAATCAAGCCTCTTAGAAGAGTTGATTACCAACTGAATATAACAGCGTGATGTGGCTGCACAAAAGTACAAATGTATATTTTGGCACTTAGAGAGGATCAGGATTTTCAAGGGGTGCTCTGAATACACTAGGAATTTTGTCCTTTAAATCCTCCAATTTCCACCCCGAAAAAAGACTCAAAACTTCCCCTCGTCTATTCTTGGAACACTATAGGAATGCAAGTGGGTGGGATGCTGGGCCCTAGTTTGCTCACTCTTCTCCTTTGGAGAAAAATATGTATAAATTGAAATGTTTGAATCTCTTTTCTTGACTACAGAAAATGATGAAAGACAACAACCTGGTCCGGCATTTGGATGCCTGTGAGACAATGGGCAATGCCACGGCCATCTGCTCGGACAAGACAGGGACCCTTACCACCAATCGCATGACAGTTGTGCAGTCCTACATGGGTGACACTCACTACAAGGAGATACCTGATCCCAGTAGCCTGACATCCAAGACACTGGATATGCTGGTGCATGCCATTGCCATCAACAGTGCCTATACCACCAAGATACTAGTGAGTAGTAGCCCCTTTTGGAGACATTCCTTCCTAAGACTACATTGGGCTAGAAATGCAGTAACTATTATGTAACTAGGGAATCTATGGTCCTCAAGATGCTTTTGACCTATAACTCCCATTATCATTATGTCTGTTGGCTGCAGTCTTGGGAAATGTAGCTGCCTGTGAAATAAATCAGCATTATTATCTCCATGATAAGCAGGCTAAAGATGTTCAAAAAAATAAGGGTGATATGGGAAGGGGCTAAGACCAACATCTAACACTGGTGTAAAACTAGCTCTGTAATTTGACTTGAAGTGATATTTAAATTGGGAACAATTAGCAATAAATAAAAATTGCAGACATGAAGAAGAGCTAAAATCCTGAACAGCTGGAATGTTAAGAAGCTGTATTCTAAGTTTCTGGAGAAAAGTCCAGGTGAAGAAAGATGATCTCTGGTTAATATTTTGAATGGCAAGCAGGAAAACAGATGGAGTCTCAGAGAGATGGAACTCACAGAAGAGGGCAGGTTTCTGGAATATCCCTACAACAGTTCAAGAACATGGAGAAAATCAGACTGGCCATTTAGGAAAAGAAAGCTGAATTCATGCAAAATGGAACTGAAGGTTTTCTGCCTTTAGTTCTGGGTGGTGTGGTCCTCCCCCAAGTAGAACTAAAATACAGGCTGGGGGTTCTTCCTAGATTCTCAACTCCTGCTTGCAGAGCAGGTGGCAGTCTTTGCACAAATCTATATTGTGTGCCAATTGCCCCCATTTTTCCATTGGGATGGTTCTATTTGCAGTCAGCCATGCCTTGTATAACTCTTGTCTAGTCCAAGTGGGGACTGTGTGGAGCTGCCCCTGAAGACACCTCACCACTGATCCAAACACAGCCGTGCAAGTAGTTATGGGAGCACCTTGCTACGCCCATGTAACATAACATGGACTTTCAGATCTGATTGTTACTTATAAAGCCCTTTATGGACAGAGCCTGATTATTAGTTGAACTGCATGCTTTGGATTACCATCCAGTAAGATTTAACCGAGTTGGTATCCCACCACTCAGGTGTGGCATCTGGTGGGATTCAGAGATGTGCCTACTCTGTCACCACACCTGCTCTAAAGAATAGCATTTGTGGTTCAAAAATTAGAGGAAGAGAGGCCGACCACAACATCAAATCCCATTTTGTCCTAGATACTGTAAGCAAGGTTAGTTTTTATTTCCTTTGAAGGCTCTAGTGAGCTCCAGTTGACGATCAGATCAGTTGTGAGAGCTACTGGATCAGGTCACCATTCAGCAGCATCCGCAGAAAGGTCCTGCTGCATTGCTATTTAAGGAGGAGAATATATGACCGCTAACTCTGGAATTACACTACTTGGGATGCAGCTGAATGGAAGCCTTTCCTAGTCTTGAGGTACATATAGAAAAGATTTCATGTTTGAGGGCATAAGGATGAGCATTGCTAAATTATTTCTAGTCCTGGGACTTACTACCTGCAGATTGTTGCCCAATTTCCTTCTGATCCAACCAAACTCCAGTGGAGGAAGTCAGCACAACTTGGAGAAAAGTGAGTGGGATAATAAATCTCTGGTCCTCCAGAAGTTGCTGAACTAAAACTTTCATCATCCGTTATGACTCATGGTATTGACAGAAGCTGCTGAAATTGTAAACCAGCAACATTTGAGGACCAATCTCTAGGGGTCTAGGCATACTGGTGACCTGCAGGCCGGATGAGTCACGCACAGGCCATGCCTACCCCAGCTCTGCAAAGGCAAAAAAATATCGCAATATGTCAAGATATGTCACGTGACGCAATCGAGTTTGACATCTGTGCTCTCGGGAGGGTTCCTGATATTCAAGAAACCTGCCCTCTTTGTGAGTTCCATCTCTTCAGAAAGGGTATCTGTCCAGAATCACATTCCAAATACTTACCTTGATAGGCTATCAAACTGCCATTTTAACTGTTTGTTCTTTCTTTAACAATCCTGGATGAGAATACTGAAAACTTTTAAAGAAATCTAGATTTCCAAAAGCTCCCGGTGCAGAAGGAACAATTATTACATCAAATTTTCTATAGCATAGATATGCCTTAGATCAGGGGTCCCCACTCTTGGCCACTTTATGACTTGTGGACTTCAACTCCCAAAATTCCTCAGCCAGCATCCTCTCCCAGAATTCTGGGAGTTGAAGTTCTCAAGTCATAAAGTGGAGAAGGTTGGGGACCTCTGCCTTAGATTCAAAGGCTATTACAAACCTGAATTCTGGGAGCCAAGAATTTGAGTCAACTGATACACACACACACACACACACACACACACACACACACCATGCACACACTTTTAGGTAGAAAAGTGATGAAGTTAGAAGAACTGAATTGGATGTTTCTCCTTTCTGACCTGCTTCAGCCTCCAGAAAAAGAAGGGGGTCTGCCACGCCAGGTAGGCAATAAGACCGAATGTGCACTGCTGGGCTTTGTGCTTCATCTGCGACGTGACTACCAGCCTGTCCGTGAGCACATTCCGGAGGAGAAGCTCTACAAGGTTTACACCTTCAATTCTGTCCGAAAATCTATGAGCACCGTCATTTGCATGCCGGATGGTGGCTATCGCCTCTTCAGCAAAGGCGCTTCTGAAATTGTCCTCAGAAAGTGAGTCTGCTCTGCACTGTAAATGGTGAAAGGGACTTTTTCATACAGATAAAGGCTACCCTCTTAAAATGGGTGAGACTATCTCATATTCTGAAACTTGCACCAATTATAAGTGCACTTGATTCCCTATGTCAATCTTGAAACATTCCCGTAAATTCTTCTAGGAATTCTTCCAACTGTGAAAAGTCAGCTTTGTTATCTGCATGCTATTGGAATCCAAACAAAGAATTTATTTTAAACTAAGAAGCAGGCTAAAGAAGTTTAAATAAATCTGAGTAATAGGGTGACGAGCCCAGAGCTTGTCTAAGACTACCTATGTACCTCATTTGAGGATACATTTGGAATGGAGACAATCAACAATGAATAAAATGGCCAATTGTAAGGGATAACAAAAAATCAAGCAAGAAGGAAGGAGAAGCAGGAACTTATAAATAAGTTTCATCCCTCTCTTCAACTCTTACAATGGCAGTTAATAATAATGTGTTAAGTGCACGCCTAGAACAATGCATATTGCACCTATGTTCTGAGAGCTGCATTGGTTGCCAGTTTGCTTTTGAGTCCAGCTCAAGGTTCTGTTTTTTTTTTCATGGAACCATGCTATCCGAGGCACTGCCTCTCCCCAGTTAAATCAGCCTGCCCCATTAGATCTACCAGAGAAAGCATGCGGTGCATACCATCAGCTAGGGACCTACATTTGGTGGGGCCCAGAGATGTGCCTTCTCTGCTGTGGCATCTAACTTATGAAACATTCTCTTTCCCCCCTCCCCCAAAAAAAGAATTAGATTAGTTCCATCCTTTTTGTTATTCTGGAATGCCCTCCAGACCTGATTATATTACCAAGCCTGGTGCTCCCAGGGAACCAGAGATATGCTTAGATGGCTCAATTACTGAGCTGGCTATTTTTATTCCCTCTTTGCCTAGGGTTTGTATCTTTGTTTTTATAATATTTATTGTTAATGTGATTTTTACATTTTTTTTATATTGTTGGTTTTTATAAGTGGCTTAGCCCACTGTGGACGACCTTTGGTGAGATGGGCAGCTGTATACATTTCATTAATAAATAAATACATAAACAGAAACACTCTGCGACCGATCACAATCATAAAATCATCAGTCAATTGCAAAAGGCAGCTTTACTCAGAACAGCTTACATCCTACAAAGATACTGCTAACCCCATCAAACAATGGCATCTGCCTATCCCAGGTCCTTGGGAAGAATGCGAGAGGTGGACAAAAATTCAAAATCCAGTTTAAACATAAGGCTGACTGTGCGACCAATCTTAATAAATTAAAGCAGTGAAAGCATGAAAAGCATGAAAACAAGAAAATAACAGAGCATTATGAAGTTAACACAGGCAATGCTGGCTTAATTAAAACTTTCAGGATGATGGCCATTGGAGAAGCTCTGACACGGCTCAGGAGTCAGAATTAGCAGAATTCCTAAACCTGAGTTTTCATTTGTCTTGACCTGTCTTTAGCTACCATTACAGCCTTTTGCAGAGACTTCTTTATAAAAGAGCCAATTTGGTATGGTGGGTAAGGCCTCAAGCTAGAAACCGGGAGACTTTGAGTTCTCCTCCTAGCTTAGACAAAAAAAAAAAAGGCAGCTGCGTTACCTTGGGCCATTCACTCTTTCTGAGCCTTAGGAAAGAAGCAAGGGCAAACCACTAAAGAAAATCTTGCCCAGAAAACTGCAGGGACTATCCCAGGCAGTCGCCAGGAATCAATAATGGCTCAAAGGAACAACATTTTTTTTCTTTATCAAAATGAGCCAATTTTGAAAAGTTACTGTCTTTAATAAACAACCTGGATAAACGAGTTGTTGCATACCTTGTATGGCAGAACTGGTAACAAAGCAGAAAGGATTCTGTATAAACTCCGTTTGGTATATATATGTATGTGTGTGTGTGTGTTTGTCCCTCTCGCAGGTGCACAAACGTTCTAAATAGCAATGGAGAGCTTCGTGCCTTCCGGCCCAGGGACCGAGATGAAATGGTAAAAAAAGTGATCGAGCCCATGGCGTGTGATGGGCTGCGAACTATCTGCATAGCCTACCGTGACTTTCCAGCAGGGAAGGAGCCTGACTGGGATAATGAGAATGATATTGTGATAGACTTGACCTGCATTGCTGTGGTGGGGATTGAGGATCCTGTGCGACCAGAGGTAATGGCTGGATAGAGATGGATTTTTCTCTGAACAAACCTACCTTTGTGCCCCTTTCCTAGTCCTACCCTAGTGGGGTTTTTTTTGTTTTGTTTTGTGTTGTTTTGTTTTGGGGGGGGGTGTTGAGTCAGGGGAATTCAACTCTAGGCTTCCATTCTCCCATTTCTTCCCAACGACTAATCAAAGCTGAAACAGGACAGGGCTATGGGTTCTGTTGGCTAATAAGATCTTGACAGACTTGAACAATGGGTCCTATCCAACAAAATGAAATTTAATGTGGAGAAAAGCAAGGTTTTACACCTAGGCAAGAAAAACCAAAGATAAAAGTACAGATTAGGCGAAACCTGGCTCAAACATTAACTATATGAGGGACCTTGGAGTTCCAGTGGATGCTCACTTAAATATGAGCCAGCAGTGTGCGGCAGCAGCCAAAAAAGCTAATACAATCCTTGGTTGTATAAATAGGCATAGAATCAAAATCCCATGAAGTATTAGTACCGCTTTATAAAACCTCAGTAAGAATACTGCATCCAGATTTGCTCACCACATTACAAAAAAGAGGTTGAAAGACTTTGGAAAATGTGCAGAGAAGAGCAACTAGCATGATTAAAAGCTTGGAGACTAAACATATGAAGAATGGTTGTAGGAACTGGGTATGGCTAGTCTAGAGAAAAGAAGGACTAAGGGTGATATGATAGCAGTATTCCAGTATTTGAGAGGTTACCACAAAGAAAAGGGGATCAACTTATTTTTGCAAAGCACCAGAAGGCAGGACAAGAAATGTATGGAAACTAATTGAGAGAAGCAACCTGGAATTAAGAAGCACTTCCTAACAGGGAGGACAATTAACCAGTGGAAAAGCTTGCCTTCAGAAGTTGTGGGTGTTTCAGAGAAGAAACTGAATAGCCACTTATCTCAAATTATATAGAATCTACCGCTTGAGCAGGGGGTTGGACTAGAAGACCTCCAAGGTCCCTTCCAGCTCTAGTCTGATTAAAATGATGGCAAAATGATGGTATAGGTCTCCTACTTGAGCAGAGGGTTGGACTAGAAGATCTCCAAGGTCTCTTCCAACTCTGTTATTATGTTATTCTGAATTCAGCAGCTACTATGGCCTAGCCCAGGGGTAGGCAACCTTGGCTCTTTTATGACTTGTGGACTTCAACTCCCAGAATTCCTGAGCCAGCATGGCAGTCCACGAGTCATAAAAAAGCCAAGGTTGCCTACCCGTGGCCTAGCCGGTAGAGTGGTGGATTTGGATCCAAAGAGAATTTTGCCAAATGCACACAGCTGCTTCAGTTCTGTAATATAGATAAAGTCAGAGTTGTGTAGAAATAGCCCAGAATTAAGCTTCCTAACAACAGCTTCTTTTTTATTTAAGAAAAATAAAAAAAGGGGGGGAATCATGTTTTTAATCCTTTGGCTACAAACACAAGTTTGGCAAAGCCTAGTGCATTTTTAGAAGCCAGAGAGAAGCTGGGGAAGCTGCTGGCCAGATCCGTTGGAATTTCTGAGCTAAATAACAGCTCCCCCCACCTTTTGCTAGCACTAGCAAAATAAGCATAATTGCTTCAGCTTTTTAAAAGACATGAAGTACTTTACATGATCAAGTATTTGGATGTTAGTGCAGAAAACAAAGAACTAAGACATACATTTTAATTATCCTGTGCAAGGAAGTATTTTCGTTATTTTGTGTGAAAATAAGATAAAGCTTTGCATCATGGATGGGCAACATGATTAAATAGAGTGAAGTCAATGAATAGTTTTCTTTCAATGTGTACATATATAGATAGATTGTTTTTATGCTCAGTGTAATGACAATGAATTTCAACAAACCTGACCTTAGGAGAAGGCTTTTAAAGATGAATAATATGTTTCCTATGCAGGATTGTGACATTAACCATCTATTTTAGTTGAGCATTGTAACTGTGACATAATATTAGGATATATGTCTATAGAGATTCTCAGTCATTCAGGTCATAGTTATCCCAAAGGTGCTTTTTCACGAGGCAACTGGTCTTCCCTGTTTTTCTCTGAAGACATTTCACTTCTCATCCCAGAAGCTTCTTCAGCTCTGACTGGATGATGAGGAATGGATGGTTTATACTCCTTGCAGACTCAGGTGACCCTGATAACCAGTGCTTTTTTTCTAAAAAACAAAACAAAACGGTGCCAGAACTCACACATGTCATATAACCTGCCTTGCCTACTCTACAAGGTTCCATCCAAAAAGGTAGTGGAACTCCGTTCTGGGCATTCTATGAGAAAAAAAGCCCTGCTGATAACACAGATAAACCTCCAGGTTGGCCTCAACGACTCTCTAAAAGAATGCAAATGACCAGCTGTCTGCAAGGAGTATAAATCCTTCCATTCTCCAGTCAGAGCTGAAAAGGCTTTTTGGATCAGAAGTGAAACATCTTCAAAAGAAAAATAAGGAAGTCCAGTTGCCTTGTGAAAAAGCACCTTTGCGATCAGGATATATGTTTAGACATATCTTAGCAGCCTGAATGACAAAAGCAAATGTATGCTGAAGCTGGTCACTTTTATTTTAAAGAAAAAGACTGGGGTTACGATTTGGGTTTTTTTTCCCCTGGCTTCTACTTTCCCCACATTTGCTAGATGCTTTGGGGGTGAAATAGTGATTAACTGATGACTTTGGAGATGAATCCAGCAAGGAAATCTAATTATGTTTTGGAAATGTAAAGCTGAGATTCCCAGTCTGGACATTAGATTTAATACTGAGGTGGAAAACCAAGAAGCATGCTATGTTATAAGAAATCGATGCCTTTAATTAGATATGCCATGTGTCCATTTTCCAGGTGCCAGAGGCCATCCGCAAGTGCCAGCGTGCTGGCATCACTGTCCGTATGGTGACAGGAGACAACATCAACACGGCTCGGGCCATTGCTGCCAAATGTGGCATCATTCAACCAGGGGAGGACTTCTTGTGTCTGGAAGGAAAGGACTTCAACCGAAGGATCCGCAACGAGAAGGGAGAGGTATCAAAGAAACTGTTTTTAAGTTTTTGGAAAGGTGCAACTCCTGCAATTCCAAAGTCAGGGAAATAAGTTCTGAAATAGTAGCTTTCCTCCTCGAAGGACTTGCTCAAATGGAAGTTCATTTGGAGATAAGGAAGAGGATGTCCCTAAACAAGAGACCTTCAATTTGAACAAATCTCAGTTTTTCATAAACCCCAAATCATTAGGAACATTCTGAATACTCTTCACCCTTTTTTTAAAAAAAATCCCCACAAACAAAAAGTTGTCATGCCAGAGGGAAAGCTCTGTTCCTTTTTACTGATTGCCAAGCTATTTCTAGACTACCTATGTCATTCAACAGCATATGAGAAAGGATGTCACTCTTCTTACCTTCGATACTGTAATCGGCAAAAAATGACAATGAGTGTCGAAATTGGGAAAACTGCATAAGTCTCAGCCCAGCTTGGAGAAAGACCATAGCCCAAACTTGTATGCAGAAAATAGGCCCACTCCATCCAGAGAGTGTGGAGGGCAGGGGAAGATCTATTGCCAAAAACTAGAGGATGCATATAACAAATGGCCAGAATTTCCACACCAAGCACTTATAGCACCTCCAGAGTATCATCCAGCCATCCTAGAAGTGATATAAAGCCTGATTGCATTATTCTGGCCAATGATGGTTGGATGGCTACAAAAGGTGCTATAAATTGACAGTGCAGAAATGAGCTAAGGCAACTTCCTATTGTTCTCTTGTACTACACATACTACCTCTCTATGTTTATAGATAGAACAAGAACGTCTTGATAAAATCTGGCCAAAGCTGCGTGTTCTGGCTCGATCATCACCTACCGATAAGCACACCCTGGTGAAAGGTAAGATACCACCAACCTCTTCGTCCGCAGTCAAAATGGGGTGGTGGGAACCAGAATCCCCAGGATTTGGATTTATTTCCTGTTCCAAATCAAACTCCAGATATGCAGCCCAGAATGTCTCTGAAAGCATGTCCACCTAAAGGTGCAAACAGTTCTGGGATGTGTTTGGATCGTAGCCCACTCGCCACTAGCTAACTCACATTCTTGACCTTCAAGGCATCATTGACAGCACTATTGGGGACCAGCGCCAGGTAGTCGCTGTCACTGGGGATGGAACGAACGATGGACCCGCGCTCAAGAAGGCCGATGTGGGCTTTGCCATGGTAAGAGGAGTTGAACTGAATTCCCTCCCCTGTGTCCACAGGGACATCCACTTCACAGGGAACTAGGGTGAAGACAAACATAATATAAAAAGAGAGCTCACAGCATGTCCTTCATCTGTGGGATGAGCCCAGCATCCTCCTGGCGTCGCAGCTGCAATGACAGATGTACGTACTAGTTAACTCAATGCTGGCCCAGCCGCCATCAGTCCTTTCTTTCCCCTGTGCTTGGTACAGGTGGTCTGCCTTTTTAAAAAGCAAGCAAACACTGTATGTATGATTATCTGCTTATTGCCATTTTTGTGGAAATGAATACAAATTGCATGAGGGACCAGGGGGGCAAGGGAGGTGCCAGGGAGACATCATAGACATCAGTTAATGTTGCTTGCATAAGCAATTTCTGCAGATTTGCAGGAGTTTTTTTTCCAGGATTTGACCTTGCAGATGAGCAGGTGACCTTGAACTGAAAAGAGAGGGCCCAGATCCAATGTAGCCTGCTACTCTGTATCAGCATTGATGCCAAAGTTATGAATTAGATGGATTAAATCCAACTTAAGGCCCTCAGCCTTGGGAAACCATTAGCTAATTTGAATGTCAACCAAATACTTGTAGCTGGAACTGTTAAAAAGTATTAATGACTATGAGCTCAATAGCACCATCCAGCCCATTCCTACTGATTGTCAAAACAGTTCTGGATAAGCAGCAGCCAGTCTGCAATACGAGAGAGGAAAGATTGGAAAATGTAGCGCTGTAGTTGGGGTTTTTTTTCCAGATCAGGAGCTGTGATGTCATTTGCAAAATAAGTGCTGGTCCCTCCTTTCTCTGGCAAGTAAACGAGCTGATAACAAGCATTTCAGAATTTCTTATTCTTTGTGCCACATATTCATACAGGAAGTCAAAAGAATAAACAGAACAAGTGCTGGTTAGATGTTTCTTTTCTCCCATGGGATTTCTACTTCAGACTGGATCCTTTGCAAATTACTTAGAAATCTAGCTAAAACCCTAAAAGTTTGTTTCAACTAGCTGAAGAACTTTGTTTTTTTTTTAAAGAAAAAAAAAGTCAGAATATATTGTCAGTTGAACCAATTCAATGGGAAATGAGCACCACTGGTTTCAACTGAGGTTAGTCTGAGGTAAGTATGGATAGAAGTACAGGCTTACTTCATTGGATATAATATTGTTGATGTCTGTCTATTCATGGCAATATGAGCTTACCTAGTTCAAAATTTACCACTTTACTCATGAGTGCTGAGTGAACATATTCAGAATTAACAAGATTCCGATGCTCTCTGAGGCCTTTTTGATCTTTTTCATTGGTTGATCAATGGTATGTGGAAAGACCTTGGTATAATGGGCCAAGAAACGCTACATATGAAACAAGAGACGCCATAGCTGGGTACTGGGAGGGGTGAGAGGCTCAGAAAAAACCCTCCCTAGCTTCTCAGGCTGTAAAGGAGATGGCGGGAGAATTGATACTTGCAAGATTCTGTTAAGACAGCTTTACAATTAAGTAAGGCTGACTGCGTCACAACTTTGTACATACTGTATATTGCATGCTAGCAGTCTATGCTAACAATGCTTTAGGGTAGTTTCATTTAGGGCTGGGTTGAAAACAGTTGCCTCATTTGTGTACAAGCACAAAACATCAACATCCAGTCACCTTGATTCCCCACTCTGATTTGTCTCTATGATATCGTGACCGGATTGACTATACATTGATGCTGTGACACCGTCATGTAAGTTCTAGGAATTCTGACTGAAATCTCTAAGCTAAAAAGAGGTACAAACATTTTTATTTGTTTGTTTTAAGATTCCAAAAAGGCTGCTGACTGAGAAGTGTGAGAAACAGGAAATTGGGAGGCAGTAACGTATTCCAGGAATTATTTTTCTGGTTATTATATATTTATAACTCACTCCTAGACAGGATCAACACTAAAGACATAGAAATCTTCTAAACAGCTGATCCCTGGTATGCCAAAACAACAATAATGACACTATTTCTTCCCCTCTTATGAAAGTGGTTTGATGATATCTCAGAAGGGGGTCAAGATTGGAATTTTAGCAAACATTTATTTTTATTGAGGGATTTTTTTTAGCAGGCATTTAAACTATCAGTGCAAAATATCATGCCAAAGACCATCAATACCTGTAGACTAGTTTATTTTCCTGGGATTTAGAAGAATCTCTTTAAATAGGATTCATGTATATTTTGTACATGAAAAGGAATTCCCGGTAAAAATGCCAGGAGTAACTTTAATTTTTATTAGTTTTTTTAAATCCCACTTTTATTACTTTATAAGTACCTCAAAGTGGCAAATATACATAAAACTCCTTCCTCCTCCTATTTGCCCCACCATAACAACCCTATGGAGGCGGGTTGGGCTGAGGGAGAATGACTAGCCCAAAGTCACCCAGCCGGCTTTCATGCCTAAAGCATTATATTAAAGTGTACATTATGAAGTTTGCTGCATGATTGTTCTTTGGGGAGGTGAAATAGTTTGATACAACACTTTATTTTCCAGTCCACTGAACAACTGTACCTTTTCACTTGACAAATAGGCTCCAGGAAATTAAGCCCTTAGGAGATCATAAGATGAATGATGAAGGAGAATTTGTGTAGTTGCCAAGCAGATCCTTCTTCTCCACCTCTTTCTTCCCATACCACTTAGCCTGATAAAAATGTTTTGGGAAACTCAAAAACATGCAGACTTTTTTGTGCTATATTATTTGGTCCTGATTTCTTTCGTGACTAGAAATTCTCTAAAATGCCAGTGGGCTTATTTTTTCCTTTTGCAGAATTGTCTGAATTCACAACTCATTAGTACAAAACATATCTGATTAGGAAGAAAGGGTGATATGGAAACATTTCAGGTGGGGGACTATGAAAAACATTTCTGAAGTGTTTTAGTGGCAACTGTTGAAAACTTTCAACTATCTTATACTAGGACCACTTTGATAAATACTCACGGAAATAGAATTTCTGTCATTACAATATAGCAGGGCTAGGCAATTTAGTGGGACTGTAGAAGTATCCCTTGAGAATCAGATGCTGTGTAGCTGCAGAGTATCAGAAACAGACCAGCTGGTGGGGGGATCAAGAAGGTTTGGAGGAACCAGGCTGGCTGCATTGGCAGTGGATGTGGGTTTTAAAGTTTACTTTAGTTTGTTTTGAGTTGGGTGAGGGGAGTTGGTGGGTATGAGAATGGCATGGACCTGGAACAAAGGGATTGGAGAACTGGGGGGAGGGAGAAAGGAGAGGGAAGGTGGTATGATTGAAACTGTGGTGGGCAGGGGTAAATATGTTAGGAGGTAACTATACTTATTAGGTGCTGTGAATGCTGATCTCTTAGCAGCTTTTAATATCATCAAGCATGGCATTCTTCTAGACTGGCTGTGGAGGTTTGGAGTGGGAGGCACTAGCTGTTCACTTCCTGCCTCAATGGCCATTCCCTATTGGTGCTAAGAACGAGGAAGTCATATCTGCAGCTCTCACCTATGGAGCGCCTCCAGGTTCAAGCCTCTCAGCCCTCCTGTTTAACATCTACATGAAACCATTGATGAAATCAGATGTCAGTTTGGAACTTTATTTCAGTCATTGACCAATAACAGTGCATTGTCACTATGGCGGTGATACCCAATTGTACATCTTAACTTGAGTGGTGCAGTTGAAGCTGCCAATGTAGCGGCCCTGTGTCTGGAGGCTCTGGATAAGGAGGAACAGACTCAACCCTGACAAGAGTGAATGGCTAAGTCTGAGTTATTTTCATCTTTAATTTTAGTTTGGGTTGTACTTCTCCATCCAAGACTATTGTGCAACTTGGGGAGGGGGGGTTCTCCTGGAGCTGCATCTTTTCTTTGACCAGAAGATCCTTCAGATGGTCACTCATGCCTAGCCACTTTGCAATTGAACTATTGCAATGCACACATTTTTCCTGAACATCATCCAGAAGCTACAGCTGGTCCAAAATGCAGTGGTGCAGATAGAAATGGATGCGTGCATTACACCTGTGTGATATCACTACCTCAAGAGCTGCAGCTGGCTTCTAGGTGCAATTCAAGGTGCTGCACATCTCCTATAAGACTCTTCATGGCACTGGGCCTGGTTCTTTGTATCTATTTAGTACAATTGGGCAGAGTGGGTGTATTCCAGTTCTTTCAGTTAAATGTCATCTTGTGGGATTTAAAATGCATGCCTTCTCTGTTTTGGTGCTTGTCCTCTGAAACATCATAACCCCAGAAATACATATGTGTCCCACCCTTAAATATTCTATAGGTTTCTGACAACCTGACTCTCTTCCCAGATCTGGGGTTAGAGTGGGACCCCTGGCCTTATTTGGTTATTTTGTCTAGGCTTTCTTGTTTTTCTTTTATATTATGTATTCTTTTAAAACTGTAACTCACCCAGAGTCATTTTGGAGTTGCTACTCTCTAGAACACAGAACTGGGTTCTACAGTTCCTGAGACATTCAAATGTATGTGTATGCATGCCTGTGTATTTGTATCAAAGGTCCTGTTTCTCTTCTTATTAAAGTTCTCCTGGCTGGCTGGCTGGCTAGCTAGTTTTTCTTAACCTTGTAGGATATAATGCTATCTTTTTTCTCTTTAATGGGTAGGTCTATTTAGAAACGTCCTGGAGAAGCATATATCAGGAGAACTCTGGTAGTATCTTTTCCAACTAACACATTTTAAAAAATCAACTTTCATAAACTCTAGCTCACTTCATCAGAATAATGGAGTAATTTAAATTGGGGGGGAGGAGGAAAGGAGGCTTCACCCCTATTTAAATGCTACATCTGTTTAACCACTCCACACTTCTGATGAAATAGCTGACAAAAACTTATTCTTTTTAATAAAATTTCTTAATTGGAAAAGGTGCTATCAAAGTTCTGACTTTTAGTTACCGTACACTAATAAAGTTGTCCTCCTACAGTGTTTACTAAATAACATAAGGAAAGAAAAGCAATAAATAAATCAGGAGCTGGTGCTTATTTCTCCTAAGGAAGAGGATACATCGGTAGAGAGATCAGAGGAGAGAAAAAGAATGTCAAAAGGAATGACTTTGGGGGTGAGGAGAAGAATCAGGGATACCCAGGAATACTTGTGGGGAATCTCTAGCAGGTATCTTTTATAGGACCAGTCAAACTTAGCTGCCTTCTCAAATGGAAGGAGCATACAACCAATAGTATGTCACAATGTGGAGTCTCAACCCACACCTTACTCATCTTGGTCCAGAAAAAGCTCTGCCGATGTTAAGCAGACAATGCTTGATTTGGATGTACAAAACAACAAGTCAAAAACTCTACCACAACTCTAGAGACTTTGGCCTCTAAACATTGTGATCATTCTGTCCCTGCTCCTCATAAAAGGGAGTTCACATTGGCAAGATCACTTATTAGGAATACCTACCCATGTGTTGAGTGATGGAGGTTGAGGCACTTGTGCATGTTTTATTGAACTGTCCTTTATACCTGACCTGGTGTGCAGAGTTAATTTCTCCCCCTACCTAGCCAATGCTTGGGCTGGTCCTAATAAGAGATTGCAAGTTTTTTAATTAAACGATCAACCTAGTGAAATCTCCAGGAACATTGCCCTTTTCTCCCCTTACTGTTAGGAGGCACCTAGTTTGAGTTCTGTCAAGAAAATAATAGATTTTGATAAACATGCTAGTTTATGAAGTTTGATTCTGTTATGATTTCTCTCCTGGCTTTATTGCTTTGTGTAATATTGTTCTGTTACAATGTAAATTTCCAGCCTACAACCATAGAGTAAATCAATAAATAAACCTAAATAAATATGTGTGTTTTAATTGCATAGAGTTAGCAATGGATGAATTAGATCAATGAAAATACTATTAGAATACACAACTATTGGGATCATTATAGTCCTAAGAGAAAAAGAGAGATTTTTTTTGCCCATCACAAAAAGAAGAATGTACCAACTATCTACTTTCGTGTCATCCTCAGGGCATAGCAGGCACTGATGTAGCGAAAGAGGCCTCTGACATCATCCTGACTGATGACAATTTCTCCAGCATCGTCAAGGCGGTGATGTGGGGTCGCAATGTTTATGACAGCATCTCCAAATTCCTGCAGTTCCAGCTCACTGTCAATGTGGTGGCCGTCATCGTAGCCTTCACTGGGGCCTGCATCACCCAGGTGGGCTGCATTGCAAGATGGAGCAGTAAATGGAAGATGAAGACCTAGATCAGTGGTTCTCAACCTTTCTAATGCCGTGACCCCATAATACAGTTCCCCGTGTTGTGGTGACCCCCAAGTGGGTGTGGCCACCAATAAGAGAGAGTAGGACAGCTAGGGAAAAGGGAAAAAATGGCGGACAGCGTGGTTTGGCGACCCCCGTGAAATGGTCGTTTGACCCCAAATGTGGTCCCGACCCACAGGTTGAGAACCACTGACCTAGATGGACTAAAAATTGGAAAAATATACAATGGGACATTTGGAATTATCTGTTCCAGCTGTTTCTCCCATCTGGGGGGGGGGAGTATGTGAGTGTGTGTCTTAGATGACTGAATAGAAAATGAATATTCAAAGATGAGAGAGATTAAAAGAAGGAGAGAGAATCCCTCATGAAATCATGATAAAACTCTGCTCCATGCAAGAATACAAAAGGATTCTCAAATGAGGGCTGTCCAGTGCAGGTCCCATTACCTCCCTGAGTAATTAGTTTCACCACTGAACTTCTCTTACTGGCAAGAAGGGTTTCCAATTGTTCATTAAATTTGTCCAATTACTCACAATTTGTTGGGTCAGTCCATTTAATGATTATGTACTGGAATTTGCCTTTCTGTAACTTAAATCCATTAATCTTCCCTCTGAGATGATAGAAAACAGGTTTTAGTATTCTTCTGTGCAACATCATTTGGAGAACAGAATACACTGAACAGTAACAGTAACACATTTGGGGGAGAAACCCTTGCAGTTGGTATGGCAAGAGTTGGTACATTCCAGTGACTCTTTGACTCTCTACCTAATCTATTTTTTTTTTCATTTTGACTGAAGAAGTTATTTGAATGAGTAACAAAACGTCTCAGTTTCATAAATTTTGGTTGAGTTGCCATGATTTAACTTTTTTAGATCCTTTGGCCTGGATGATTGAGTCTTCATTTACACTATGAAACTACATTCTCATATTTGGCTGAGGGTGGGGGATTTATAAAGCCACTCTAAAAAGGAAATGCATATGTCTTTTGTGATTCCCACATTCTTGTAACCTTGCTGTGGGAATTCTGGGAGTTGAAATCCACCCATCTTAACCCATCTTAAGGTTGAGAAACACTGCTCTATGGCAAAATTCCCTGATGTCAAGGGCCATGTGGACAATGGACAATGCAGTTAGATAAATCAGCTTAAAATCGTCCCAAGACTTGGTCAGTGGATCTTGGTTCAGTCCACAAAATCGGTGATAGATACATGAAATTATTAGGTGGAGGGGAGGTTGTTGCCACACAATCTGCTATTTTCTGCAAATGACAATCTTGAGTAAACGGTCAGCAAAGCATTTCCAGCTAACAAATATGCATGCAGGCATATAAAAACTAGCTACTTCTCACTCTTTTTAGATGTATTTCTTTCTTTAAGTTTAGGTTACACCTAGAGTCAGACATGCTTCAGCTCCAATTATTCACAACTTGTGTTATTGAGTCAGTCCATTTAATGATTATATACTGGATTGAGGAACACACAACAGTGTAGAGTCAAATAACCCCCATGAAATTTAAAGCACAGATGAAAAGGGTAAAAAAAATGCCTTCATCTTTCCCTGCTTTGATTAGAATTGTGATGAAGCTTGACTCTATTTTATTTTTTTATTTATTTCACTTTCTTTCCATACTACCCTTCAATAAAGCTTCCAGGGCAATTTACAAAAGCTAGTTAAAATAAATAATAAAACATGACAACATGTAAATAAAACTGAAAAGAAAGCCTGGGAAAATTAAAAACTCAACACAGTCTCTTTCAGGTTGCCCTCTAGGTGATCCCAGATGATAAGGGCAAAATACGTTGTAGAAAATGTAAAGAAACAGGATACAGATAGTTCTTGACTTGCAACAGTTTGTTAAGTTACAACAGCACTGAAAAAAGTTTTTCACACTTACGACCTTTGCAGCATTCCCATGGTCCCATGATAAAAATTCAGATGCTTGGCAACTGATTTATATTTATGACGGTTTCAGTGTGGGGGGTGTCATGTGATCACTTTTTGTGATCTTCTAACAAGCACTTAAACTCAGTTAACAAATGTCTCATTTAGCCACAGAAATTTTGGGGTCAATTATGGTCATAAATTGAGAACTACCTATATATTTTATCCTTAATTGACCTCACTAGAATGTTGGGGGGTTGTTTTTTAATAATCCAAGCAACGTTTTGAAAAATAAAGAATTAATAGTTTTTTTTCTGGTTGCAGTGAGACAGATAGTAGCAAAATCCTGGAAATCAGGAAAGGATCTGAATAACTCTAGACGATGGCAGAGATGCTAGAAAATCACTCTAATGGAAAATCCAACTTAAAAAGATGGTAGTGATGTATGAAGATAAAATACAAGATGATTTTTTTATTTCATCTAGTTTAAACACAAGCATAATGATTGTCTGCTACCCAAGTCCAGAATTCTAAATAATTTAATTAAATAAGGCTATTTGTATTTTGCATGTATATATACTCCACTGTATTATCATTTGTTATTTGTTAATAAATTTAAATTTTAAAAAAATTTAAACAAACAGATGGTGAGGGCAACTGGACGAGACCTTCCAACATTATCATGACTATACAGGTAGTAAAGCAGATTTTTCTTTCAGATACTTGATTCCTAAATTTCCACCACTGGTCATAGCTTTCTCCAATTGAGTATCTGTACAGGTGTGTGACAAATCCCAAAATTCTGTCCCCAGATATAAAGATTCAGAAGAAGGCTTCAGAAAAAGCCTCCTGGCAATTCCTTCCTTACCAATGAAAAAATCTGGCTGTTTGCTGGTTCATGGAAATACAGTCAAAACTAAAACTTGGACTCCTACATAATATTGTGTGTGTGTGTGTGTGTCTCTCTCTCTCTCTCTCTCTGTGTGTGTGTGTGTGTGAACATGTGCCTTCAAGTCAGTGTTGACTCCTGGTGACTGCCTGGACAAGTCCCTATAGTTTTTTTGGTAAGATTTTCACAAGTAGCTTGACCTTGTCGCATTCTTAAGAAACAAGAGTAAGTGACTAGCCTAAGATCACCAGGCCAGTTTTGTAATTAGGGCAGGTTTAGAATTTATGGTCTAACCTGGGGTGTTAACCACTACATCAAATTGACTTTTCTATAATAATCTATTGGGATATAAAGTGGTTGGACGCTGGGAAATAGTTGAATACTTCCAACATGTCCCTTTCATCTCAGCACATCTTGCCAAAGAGACTGTGAGAATCGTGCTTGGACAGGAAATTAATTTGGGTTTAATCAGAATGGAAAATGATTTTTGAAAGATTCCATCTGTCATGTGTAAGATTTTACTGAAAATGAGGTTGACCCCAAATTCCACCTCAATTTAGCAATTTCTCTTTTAGCAATGAACTAGGGTGATGGAAGGATTCAAGAGTGGGGATGACAGTTTCACAGACACCCACACATACACACCCTTACATACCCATGCACACTTTATTCCTATAACTGTCTGTTGCCTTAGTAGTTGTACAAAGATATATATATGGTATATCCACATACATACATACATACATACAAAGTGTCCTCTGGAGATATCCTGGATTATCCACTTATCTCCCAGTTAGTAGTACCTCTCATAACTTTAATCTCTGAATTAAATGCATTTATTGCCTTTTCATTTCAGAAAAGTGTGTGTGTTTGTATGTGTGTAAAAATAATTAGATGAACATCTGTTAATGTATACTATTAATTTAACTGTAAAACATTTTTTTAAATGATAAAAAATTATGCTATATTAGAATTAGCAGAATGAGCTCCAGCAGCCCCCCGTATTAATAGTGGGTGTGTTGACTGCTCTTCCCAATCATTTGCCACACTCTTAAGTAGTCATCTAAAAGGTTGAATCATGGCAACTGGACCAAAATTGATTAATCTGAGATGTTTCGCTTCCCATCCAAGAAGCTTCATTAGTCAAATTAAAAAAAATAATTAAAAAAAAACTCTGCCTATTTTTTTTTTTTATTTTGACTGATGAAACTTTCTGGATGGGAAGTGAAATGTCTTAGATTAACCAATTTTGGTCCAGTTGCCATGATTCCTTTTAGATACCTAAATGATTGAATCTTCATTGACATTTCTAAGTAGTTATCTTCTTCTTCTTCCTCCTACCCCCCCCCCCAAAGCATCCTTCTTCCTTCTGCTCTACCACTCAAGGAAAGGAGCACAAGGATTGTGCTAACAAGGATAGGCATTGCACCCCATCCTCCTGTTTCTCCCATAAAAAGGGAAAGAATCTGCTTATTAACTCAGTGACAGAAACATGCTGCAAATATTGAAGTAAAGATGTTCTCATTTGCACTATTGTTGTACTGAATCACTCTTTTAATCCAGATTATTACATATCAGATCCTAATTAGACTGTGAAAAGCAGACTGAATCAATAGACATTTGAAATCTGTACACCAGATCATAGCTCTGGCTCATCTAGCCCAATGATTTATATTCTGATATTAGTGTATCTCACAAATCTCCAGAGTAGAGTGAAAGTGACTCCGTTCAAGGCAGACACTCGGTTCCCAACTCCTTTTTAATTTTAACACTACTGTAGAGATTTCCAGAGGAAAATAACAGGCAGGAGATATTATAGGTAAAGAATAACTTTCTCCCTACCTGTCAGTTGTACCTTGCAAGTTAATCCCAAACTGTACAATGCAGTACTCTGTTCACTGTCATCTTCTATTTAAAGGACTATCCAATTCAATCCAGTTTAAAATAAAAGAATAATAATGGAGCACAAGAACAAGTCTTTGGAGCTGTCCATCCACAGGTAAATTCAGGAAAGCAAGACTTGTCTTGTTTTGTCCTTTCATTCTTGATGGATTCCTTCTCCTCCTCCTTTTGATTTCAAGGCAGCTATTCATAAGCTTAGCTCTTAGCTGAAGCACAGACACAGGCTGAAATTCAAAAGTAGTCTGACAGCAGCTTTTTCGCCTTAGAAGCTAACCAACGTGCTACCAGATACCTTCTGAATTTTTATTACCATAGAGTAGCATGGCTGCTCTCCCACAAAGCCTCAGTCTCTCTTGAGATCTTCTGCCTGGAATTGCCCCTTATGATGATACATAGATCAATATATTGATGATGTTCACCTAATACACCTCAAGTACCAGAAACCTAGTACTGACTGTGGGTTTTTTTTTTTAAAAAAGCCTGGATTTGTGAATTGACCCATTGTTGGTAGCAACAGAAAGTTTGTTCATTGGTATAATGTCTTAAGGTGGATAGAGTATGCTTAGTATGCCTGGAGGTGGATGGGTGTATGCTTCCTTCACTTCTGGGAGATGTTACAATTTTCCTTCTCGATTTCTCCTAAAGGATTCTCCTCTCAAGGCAGTACAGATGCTATGGGTGAACCTCATTATGGACACATTTGCTTCCTTGGCCCTTGCCACCGAGCCCCCAACTGAGGCCCTGTTGCTGCGCAAGCCATATGGACGCAACAAACCCCTCATTTCCCGGACCATGATGAAAAATATTTTGGGCCATGCTGTGTACCAGCTCATTATCATCTTCACTCTCCTCTTTGTAGGTGAGTTTATAAGTGAACTATAGAAGAGTAGAGGGTAAAAGGTTGGAGATCTCCACTTACTGTCCCAGAGGTTTTCTGGATTTCTATGGACTAGTTTTGCCTCATCATGGGAATTCAGTAGTTATGGCTATTCACATCTCTCTTCCAGCGATATCTTATCCCTAACTCCTAGCATGTGAGGGAGAGTTTTACAGCCTGTGCTACTTTGGGGGGGGGCAAATTTAAAGGGAAGAAATGAGAGAAAGGGGAGAAAAATAGTTCCATAGAGCCACCTGTTTGTCCTGTAGCATTAGGGCTTACAGACGAGGTAACCTGTCCTCCACTTTTGAGGAAAAAAAGATCAACTTCACAAGGTATAAATAGAATCAAACTTTAGTTGGTGGGGTTTTTAAAAAGCAAGAAATAAAAAAATATTTTCAAACTTTAACAAAATTAGGGATGGGGGGGGGGTCAAAACAGTATTGCTAAAACCACAGTCCATATTTTGAAAATGCTACTGGAAAAGGATAAGCTCTGATGAAGAGGCTGCTCCTCTAAACTAAGAAGCAGTAAAGATATTCCAAGTTAAAAAGTTGATGCAAAAATGTTCCAAGTTCCAAGCCCTAAGCGACTGAGCTTGTATAGAAACAACAGATACCAGAGATGATGAGAATTCACTAAAACTAAACCTAGCAGAATTCTTAGCTAACCTTTTCCCCATTTCTCTAAAGAATAGACTGGGCTTGAATCAAATTCCTTTGGATTCAACTGTTAACTGGAAATTCCATTCTAATCAGAGCTGGAGGAAAAGCTTCGTTCCTTCTCTCCCATCCACCATAACACACGCGTACACATTCCTTTTCTCCTGGAGTACTGCCTGCCCTTTCCAAGAGAACCAAAACTCTTTCCCCTGGAAAGAGAGGAGTTGAGGGAGAAGCCCCCTTTGTTACATGCTACAGTAATTAAATCCCTCCTACAAGAAGTTCTAGGATTCCAATCCCAACACATAGATTTGAATGCCTGAGCTGGCAGCTTGTCATCTGTCATGAGGGGCTGATAGATAAGCAGCAAGAGTGAATCTGGGGTGGGAGCTTACCTGTCCATTCAGTACAAGACCAAACTGGAACTTTGGTGGAGAGATGAATTTGGCTGGTTGGATTGGGCATTCTCGGTCCATGATGCATTGCTTTACTCCCTTTCCTTATCTGCAGGAGAGGTTATATTTGACATCGACAATGGCCGCAATGCTCCCCTGCATTCTCCGTCCTCGGAGCATTACACCATCATCTTTAACACCTTTGTCATGATGCAGCTCTTCAATGAGATCAATGCCCGCAAAATCCATGGAGAGCGCAATGTCTTTGATGGCATTTTTGGCAACCCCATCTTCTGCAGCATTGTTTTGGGCACCTTTGGCATACAGGTATAAGCTTGCTGCAACCAGCTGTGAAAAGATGGATGGATGTAGAAAAAGAGGCAAAAGAGGCGTGTACTTCCTCTTTCTGTGGACTTCCACAGCCTGGAAGTGCTGAGCAGGCAACTCTCAGATTCTTAGCCAGGATGGTCAGTGCTCCCATCCTAGTTAATCCCAACACATTTAAGGGTAGCTAGTCAGGAAAGCTGATGTATAACTATAAATGAATAGTTCAGTAGCTGAACTACTGAATAGTTTAGTGTGTCTCTCTCTCTCTGTCTGTCTATCTTTCTGTGTCTGGATCTGTGTCTGTATGAAATGTGAATGTTTATGCATGCTTCAGTAGATCGTAGTTTCACATTTCACATATAGACAAAGTAGACATATAACTGCCCTAAGTATGCATCCTGACAGTGAGGACTACCACTGGGGGGAAAGACAGGGAAGACAGGGAGAAGCAACGCTGACAAAAGATAAATATATTAAAATACAAATATAGTATAGTATAAAGAGTAAAGATTATCATCATGGAAATAATGCACGAATGGTTACCTGGACAAATAGACACTGAGTCATTTTTTAAGCCCAAAGCAACAAGATAACATTGGGAAGAGAATCAGGCAGATGCTTTCCTGACTCACAGTAAATATAAAAAGTGGGAGGAGGGGCAGCACAACCAGACTTGCAAGTTTGTTATTACAGCCAATGTCTATTAAAGTAACTTTAACATCTATCCATGCATCCATGCATCCATGTATCCAGCCATTTACCAGCCTCATTAGGTAGACTAGAGCATGAAATGCTCTGGTCTACCTAGTGAGGCTGGTAGATGGGTGGATGCATGGATGGATGCATGGATTATTTGTATTTAGACAGTTTGTCTCAGAGATTTTACCTGCACTGAGCTTTATGGTCTCCACCTCAGACCTTAGGTACTTCTTGCCCTGCAACACATAATATTTTGGTCCTTTGGACCTTTGTTTCCAATCCCTTTTCTTACATTTACCTGATGATTTGGTTCCTCAGAACCTGGATCTGTTCTGATCTGTTTTTTTGTCTTGCACATGACCCTGATTTTTCTTCTGTCCTGTTCAGGCAAGCCTCTTCTAGTACTAAAAAGCTGGCTCTCAACTTACCATCCCTCTCTTCCCCCCACCCCCATCCCACAGATCGTCATTGTGCAGTTTGGGGGAAAGCCATTCAGCTGTTCTCCACTGAATGCAGAGCAATGGCTGTGGTGTCTTTTTGTGGGCTTCGGGGAACTTGTCTGGGGACAGGTAAGGAAATCATTTTCATTTACACCGGTATATGCTCTACCTTACTTCTCCATCTGTACTGGTGTTTCCTTCCAGGTTTTGTTTTCCGATTTATGCCCCAAAAATATGACACAGGAGAGAAGAAAAACTTCTCCTAATCATTTTTGCTGCACCATTTATAGACTTGTATACCTCTCTCTTTCCTCCCATACTTGTCTATCCCACCTTCCTTCTTTTTTTTTCAAGTGAAAGTTTTAAATTTCAAATCTGTCCATAGATAAGATGCGCCAGATTTATAAAACTTTTTCTGCTCCTTTTCACCCATTGCCCTATAGATTTACCTGAAATTGTTATACGACTTTTATATTACATCTGTATGTTTTTGTAATGTGGTATAACTTAGAGTACTTCCTAATTACCTCTAGCATGGAATATGTTTTTTTCCACATCTATGGCCTATTGAGCTGTTGTTTTCATTAAACAGTCTAGGGTTGCCCCATGGTACATTCCTATTACTATTTTTTTTTTCCTGAAAAATGTTGAAACTGAGCAGTAGATTTCTTCTACAGAGAAAAGACTGAAAAGTAGCCTAGGTGATTTACTCCCCCCGCTGCAGGTCATTGCCACCATCCCTACCAGCCACCTTAAATGCCTGAAGGAAGCAGGACATGGTCCTGGTAAGGATGAGATCACAGATGAGGAAATGGCTGAGGATGAGGAGGAAATTGACCACGCCGAGCGGGAGCTGCGCCGTGGCCAGATCTTGTGGTTCCGTGGCCTCAACCGCATCCAGACCCAGGTATGAGACCGTGAGGAGGGGCCTCCTTGCCTCTGACTAGTGCTTCCCTCCCCACCCCCTTGCCCAATCCTTCCTTCGCTTTAGCGGTGACTTGAAGACCAATCTTTCATCTGGTTATCTCCTACCCCTTCCCAGGACATGGTGGTTTCACCCTGATGCTCATGCCTGGTGGAGAGAGAGAGACCTTTAATGCCAGGCTTAATTTCCACACTGCCTTGTTTCAAGAGAATAAACTAAAGAATGCCGCACTTGGATGCATGAACAGGGGCAGCGTATAGAAGCAGAAATGGGATGATGATTTTTTTTGTTGGTTGGTTGGTTCGTTGTCGTTGAGCTACTTAAAAATTGTCCAAGAAAAAGACAGGAAATCTGTAACTAAGACAGTAACAACAATTGTTACAGTAATACCACAGCCATTGTAGTACCAGTACCAATAAGAAAAAATGCAGCAAAGTTAGTGGTAGTAATTTCTACAGTACAGAAACTAGTTCATGCTAGTTTCTCATAAGATAAATGGAGAAAAGAATCTGAAAAAGATGTCTTGTCCAAGGACATCCAGTATGAGTATGGCAACAAACTGACTTAGCTCTGACCTCTCAGTTATTAAGCCCCACTATGTGGCTTGTCCATTTCCATGGAGAAATATGGTGATAATAGTAAGAGCTATATAACATGTACTGTCCAAAGCACCCCAGATATAATGCTGTTTATGGCATGTTGTAAATGTCTTTGAGGGAGCTTGATCCAAATGTCCAGGATAATAACTGGAGCTGAGGCATCATGCATAAAAGCCTGCTGAATCTTTATTCTATTACTTCACTCCTTGCTCATGTGCAGGTTCAGGATGTCACAAACAGCAGGCTGGTGTGTTAGTTCACAAAGAGACCCACTGTTGGAAACAAACCCAGTTTGCAGCTTGTATCACTATAAGTACCTAGGACATAATTGGGCATATTCCTTGCACAAGTATAGTGAGACAAAGTGAAGTGAGTTTAGGCTCCTTCAAAGCCCTTCTTTCTTTGGCTGAAATGGATTTTAAGAAAGAAATATTTGCATATGAAAGACAAATCTATGTTTATCAGTTGAAAATGAAAGAATACTGGGGAAGGTAAAATATTATAGCTATATCTTGACTGTCTTCTGGGTAAAAAAAAATGGCCACTCAGTCAAATTTTGGTTGAATCCCTGAGTATCAAATGAGAAGCAGGAGAAATCTCTCTGCTTACACAGTGTTTCTTTTTGTGATGGCGAGCTTCATGGAATACAATATAATGGATTAAAATGTAAGCATGGGCTTTGCTCTATCAGTAAGACAAATTCCAAATTGTCTCAAAGCCAGAGTTCCCAACTTTTCCACAAGAAGTCTGGATTAGATGCATGCTCCATCTGGCATTTGTAACTTGTCTGATACAGCGAAAGCACACTCCATTTTAGAGGAAATGACATTTTGACAGAAAGAAAAAAAGGGGGGAAAGTCTAGCAACTAAAGGAAAGAAGTCGGTCTGTAAAATGTAAACAATAGCACTTTCTCCCCATTGGAAATCCTTCTGTTCAGGGTGCTTCCCCACTGATACTTATTTTGGAATTCATATAGTCAAACTTTACTACCTGGGATGGAGATGGGGCAGTTATCAAATATCTATATCAAATTCCTGCTGTCATATATTTTTCTCATGCCTCTTTTATGTTCTTTTGAAAATTCATGAAATTTTATTTTCTTCTTTTTGTAAGGAGTGGCACAACAGCACAATCTCTCAAATTCCCCACTTGTTTTTAAAGAGGTGTGCCTTTGATGAGTACAGTGATGCTTGAGATACAGTAGTTAATGCTGCTCTTTTCTTAGTAGTATATTTCACTATTATCTTCTCAGATAGCTGTTTTGGCAGCATTTTATTTTTTGCCTTTACATTTGGACTAAAATCCATTTCAGCTTTTCTTTTTTTAAAAAAAAAATGCAATTCAATAAACTTGAAACATTGTGTCAGTTAGCATGCTAAAATGAATTTATAAATACATGACTTAAATTGGCCATTACCCACACCGTTAAATTACATCTTCTAGTAGATTAAAAAAAAATTGAAATGTCTCCCCATACAAGTATCGTACTGCCTAAAGGTTAAAAAAAAAATCAGTTGCCACTCAGCATATATTTTATAGCAGAAAAATAGTGACTGAATAAGTTTAGAATCCTGCAATTTGGAAGCACCCCCAAATAATTCTAATTAATAAGTAATTAGTAATTAATTTGATTTACCTAGACTTATAATGATCTGTGTTATGCATTCCTTTTAAACAAAAATTAAACCAAGGATTATCAGGTACATAAAAGTTGCACTCATAAATTTGTGGGGAAACTCAATGCAATCATAACCCTACAACAAGATAAGGTCCCTGGAGGATGGGTGGAACACAGAACTCATCTGAAGGTAGGCTATTTATAGTATTTGCACACAGGTTCGAGTGGTCACCAGTGGTCCATGTGAGCGGCATGATTCCAAAGACCCCCATGTCTGGCTTCTATGTTCTAATTACATGCTTTCTGGTTGCAGCCTTTCCCCACCCATCCCTTCCCATTGCCTCCCATTGCCTCCAAGAGGGGGTGGGACATGTGCCTTGTTGCAACTCTTTTATTTTTTCTTTTAGCATGTAAAAAAATGTTCCTGCCTTAAGAGTTGATGCTCTTGGATCAAGGAAGTTCCCTAGCCAGGAGCATGATGAGAAATGACCAGTAGCATGTGATGTATCAAAACTGCTGTTGAATGATTCAAATGAAATGATGGCTACTCAAGCATCATGTCTTTCAACCCTTCCCCAGCAACAGCTCTTAATCACTGATGAAGGGTGCTCATCAGTGGTGGGATTCAGCCGGTTCACACCACTTCAGCAGAACCAGTAGCTAATTTTTTGTTGTCCAAGACCAGAATGGTCTTCCGGAAGCAAACTGGACATCCACACAGAGAACTGGTTGTTCACATATTTGAATCCCACCACTGATGCCCATGTGCCCCATCTTTCATGACAGAACCCAGGAATCTGGCTCCCCTCCCAATCTTCCCCCTCGGGGTAAGAACCAGGGCTTCCAGGATGGAGTGTAGAAGTTTCAGGCAAGCTTAACCCCCAGTTCCTTTCCTTCTAAGAACTTCAGTGCAGACCCCTCATCTCAGCCTACTAAATCAACTTTATCCCCTTGAGATGTAAGTTGTAGCAATAGTGCCACACCCATCTGAAACATATGAGTCAAAACAAGAAGGCTGATTAATCAAAGGAGAGGGGAGCAGGGAGGTTCCTGTAGTTCAAAATGCCTTGCACCAAACCTACTGGTATCCAATTGGAAATGTTCCTGCTTCTGCCTGCTCATATCATTTGCACCAGCAGGAGATCAAGAATTCAAAACTGGTTTGTGCCTATGTTATATCTCCATTCGAGCCAAGCTGACTGATTTATCTGGATCTATATGTCTAATTTAACCAACATGTGACCTCATAAAGAAGTTTTAGGATGTGCCAATATAAGTGACATGTTTCCTATTGCAAAATTGGGGAAATGAAGCTCAAACAGTGATTTGGCAAAAGCCATTCTGGTAAGTTCATGGGTCTTTCCCCATTTCTGATGTGCTATTCAGCCATCTACAGTACCAGTCAGCAGATAACAATACTGGCATGATATTTGCTGAGCCCTTTGTTAATCCCTATCTCATCTCTATTCCCAGTCTCTGCCATTACCTCACTTTCTTCCAAGGTAAGGGGTGAGAAAACTTAATAAATTTTAGACACCTTGAGGCTATCTGTCTCAGAATAAATATAAGAAAAATACCTTAATCTTACTTCACACATGGACTGGGAACAAGATGAGCTACATGGGGACACAGTGGAATAAAAAGAAACCGTCAATGTATGTTTGTACCATGGATAGATGCAGGCCATATCTTACAGAGGGAACATTCATTCCACTCAACTAGGTTCCCTTTGGGCCATGCCGATTTTGTGATACTGTCCAAATACTATTGGTAGTCATGAATTATATGGAATGAGGAGACTGCGATACTCCTCAAACACAATTATGTTTGTAACAGAATATATCATATAAGCTTTTCTTTTTTGAGAACTTCTATGATCTTGGATTAACAATAATGTGTAAATAACAACAATAACAATAGTAATGATAGTAATAATTCCTTATCAAGCATGGTTCCCTAAGAAAAGACTTTCCCCCTTCCCAGCTATTTATTCCTCTGTGGCATACCTGATTACCCTTAAAAGTAGTAAGTTGGGGTTCCTTGATATAATACATCCCATTCATAAATCAATAGAATTCATATGAAGAAGCTTTTCTATGAACTACATAATGTCCCATTGCAAGTAATATTTATATATTCACACTGGAATTTTTTTTCATGTGAAACATCACCAAAATTTTCCTGCACATAAAAAAATAGTTTTTCCTGAGCCATTCCCTCTGACATGCTAATCTTCTACTCTAATTTTTTTTTGGGGGGGGGGGGATATATGTATACACATAACACACATCCTTCCAGTCTAAAAGTTCCAGGGATAGTTTTATGTGCTGATCCCACTGAATATATCAATATCCTGAATGCATAAATTTGCTTCTTCTTTTTCTTTCTTTCTTTCTTTTTTCCTTCTTTCTTTTTTTTGCAGGGAGTGAGGGAAGACGTGTAATAAACAGGTGTAAATTCATGCTTAGAATTTAAGATAGAGTCTGATAATGGACATGTTTCAAGGTGACCAAGGTGGATTGTAAATTTCTTCTTCCCCTTCACATTTCCTTTTCACACGGATACAAACATATACAGGAATGTAATTTTGCTGTCATTTACTGTGACACACATTCTGTCTTTCCAACCAATCTATTTCATGTGTGGGAACAAAAAGGTTTATTTATCCTTTCTTAGCATGTCAAAATCTCATACTTTCCTTTGTCTTGTTAATAGTGCAAATAAAGAAGCCCACCCATTCAGTATCCTCTTCACTTGTTCCCAGTTTTAATCAGCTTATGCTTATACAGTGGCTGGGACCATACATCATACTAAGCCATCATCAGGTTTCTTGATTTTGGCTTAGAACAATGAGTGAACCAAACTAGTGTGATGCAGTAGGTCCTTTTCATCATCCAAGAACAAGAATCTGACATACAGACATAAATAAGAAAGAAACATCACCAAAAGGATTGGTCCATTCATTTTTCACAATAGATATTACAGCATAAGAAGGAATGTTTGTCTCAGTATTTAAATACATAAACTATCACCAATACGCAATGTTTCACTGTACTGTATGATGAAGCCCAAAGTTCAATTACACACTCCATGAATATATTACAACCAACGCCTCTGTGTGAACTAGGTATAATAGCTAGATTTAAATATTGGGTTTCTTTTTTAAACTACACAAAATGCATTATGGGTTTCAAAACATGTGATGGTTTGTTTTCTTTTAATCTTTTATTGAAATCTTTGCAGGTTTCTCTTGTGCACTGTCTGATGTAATGTTGCCATCCTTCTCTGCCACACTTCGCATAAGTTGGGACTTACTAGAATTTCCAGACAGAATGGTCTTCCTGGTTTAGGAAAGACAGGGCAGGGTTCATGCTTGTAGGGGATATCTGGGTCACTTATCATACTAAGTCATAAGACATGGCTTACTAACCAGGTTGTCTAGTTTTATACTAAGCCCAAACCAAACATTTTTGCTTAGTGGGCCGCATAGCATATATACCATGTTTCCCCCAAAATAAGACTGGGTGTTATATTAATTTTTGCTCCAAAAGACACATTGGGGCTTATTTTCCAGTTAGGTCTTGTTTTCAGGGAAATACAGTATTAAATGCGTCCGTCTGACTGACGATCTTAACTGGGGCTTATTTTTTGGGTGGTGCTTATATTATGAGCATCTTGAAAAATCATGCTAGATCTTATTTTCGAGTTGGGTCTTACTTTTAGGAAAACACGGTACTCACAGCTAAGCAAAGAATTTATGGTGCCAAAATACACCCCCAAAACTGGGTTCAGTTTATCTGCAGATGGGCTTATCTGCAAGTATATAGAGTAGGCCAGTGGTGGCGAACCTATGGCATGGGTACCAGAGGCGGCACTCAGAGCCCTCTCTATGGGCACATGCACCATCGCTCCAGTACTAGGCCTTCAGCTGGGTTTTATACAGCCTTTTCGCTTTAGGCCTCCATCACCGTGTACAAAAAAAGGTTCAATCATCAGTCAATTTCAACTTCTCGCCGGAGAAAAAAAAAGACCTTGCAAAGTTGGAATTGATTGATTGAACTTTTTAGTCCCACCCAGTCTGCCATTACCACCAAAGCCACGCCCATCCAATGAGCCACGCCCACCCAGCACCCGATGATACATGAGTGGGTTTTGGGTTGCAGTTTGGGCACTTGGTCTCTAAAAGGTTCGCCACCACTGGAGTAGGCTTTCCCCTCAACTTTTTAAAAGTACCTGTATATCTTGTATATATTCACAGATATATGCAAGCCTATCTGTGAATAAGCTGACCATCAAAAATTTTTGTATGTTTAATTTTCACAATAGACTTATCCATAGTGGCACATTTTTCAAAGTAGTTTGATTAAAAATTTGAGGATCAGTTTAACTGTGGATGGGCTTATCCACATGTATATACAGGATTCCCATTAGAATTATTTCTGGGATTAAGGAGTAGTTTCTTAAACTGAGAGGAGGAAATTAAGCTTTTCCCAGTTCTGTAATTCTGTAATAAAGATGGGCTCAGCTGCAAAAGATTTCAGTTATATCAGGTTAACTATTATTCATATTGATATTTTTACAATACTTTGCTCTTCCTCCAAGGTTGCAACCATACTTGCATAACCTAATTTTGAACCAAGATTGAATATTTTTCTACTGTATTAATACCATGGCCTATTATTTCCTCATCTTTTCTCTTATTTGTTTTCTAAGTGACTGTATAACTGTATACTGTACAAAGCTTGCACTGTAGCAATTTTTGGATCCCAGAAGGTTCATGCTATTTACCAAGTAGTGTATTTAGTAGGCCTTCTGAGTTAACATGCTTATTCAGGTTTATTTCAAGTAATTTTGAAATTAAACATTTATTTGAAAACACTGTGGAAACATCACAAAAGAGAAGGATTAGAATTTCTTTTCCTATACATGGGAAGCAGATCTCAATGTTTAGTTATAGGGCTAGTCCTATAATTAGGCAGAGTAATCTGGTACTTTGAGGGCAGAAGTGAAGGGATAGTGAGCAGGGAAGAGAGAGCTGGGGATGCTACTCAGCTTCTCCTAAGCCACTTAGGACAAGTTATGGAAGACCTTGTTTTATTTTCAGGCTCAAACTAAAATTCAACTGCCAGTTCAATCTATTGCTGTACCTGGAAGAACATGTAGGATGGAGTTCATGGCCTCAGGAGAGGTTTCAACCATATTTAAGTGAAAATAATGTACGTACTGGACTCAGCAAGTGTGTATTTTCACAAGTAGGAAAAGTTAGAGTGTTGTGCACATTGTAAGTGTAGCCTTTTATATACTGTAGTAATCCATGCTTGGAAAGAATCAGACAATTAAACACCATACCATCCAAGGGTCTATCACTGTGAATGGAGAAATTGTAAAATTCAAAGATTTCTGGATGTTGAATCTTTCTTAATGCTTACTGAACCCATGCAGACTTATGACTGGAACCCTGGGCACAGATCTGTCTTGATAGCTATTTGTCTTTCTTTTGAATTTGAAAACAGGAAGGAATAACACTAATATAGGATAAATTGAGATCCTCTGAGATACAACCAAATTGATGCTCAAGCTTCTTCCTATCCTTGGCCATCCCTTTTATAAGGAATCAAGACTGATTTTATTTGAATTTACCTTTACCTACTCTGTACTGTTTGCTCTTCAATACGCAAATCCTTAGTCACACTAAAAAAAGATACAGGTGAAAAGGGAGGAATGGGTTTTTGAAGACCAAAATTATAAAGTAATTAAACCCAGCCATTTGAGATTTTGGAAATGTTTTATAACCCTTTCTCCTTGTCGGAGGCTGTCCGGTGATACTCAAAGGTGAATTATTGTCTTTATTATTCATCTTAAAGTCCTTCAGCACATCTTGCCAGCCGTGAGTTTGACAGTTGAGATGTGCCTTGTATGCTGTTCTTAATAGGAGGGTTGGCATCTTTTTATCCAGTGATTGGTTTTCCCTGAACAATTCTGGGGTAACGTATCGTGGGTTTGTACTTTCTGTAAATGATCCAGAAATGGAGCCTTCGGGTGACCAGTTTCCTCGATCTGCTGCTGGTGCAACTTGCTTTCTCCATCAAAGAACATCAGGGTGGTGCCAACTCCCACCAGCTGGTCTCTGGCACATAACGCTTCAACAGTCTTTGGCAGGAGGCCAAATACCCAGCATGGCCAATTTTGGCTGGCACGGGCTGTTCCATTGCAGCCACTGTCCGCTGCCACCCAAATTTTCTATCTCATTTTCTCTCCTGCAGATGGAGGTAGTTAGCACCTTCAAGAGAAGCGGCTCCTTTCAGGGGGCTGTCCGACGCCGCTCTTCCGTCCTCAGTCAACTGCACGATGTAACCAATATTTCTACCCCCACTCACGTAATTCTCTCCGCCGCCAATGCCAGCGCCGGTGCCGGGAGTGAGTCTTGATTTCCTCTTACTGCTTGTGATTTAAAACAAAACAAAACAAAAAAGCAAAACAAGACCAACCCCCCCCCATTCTATTTCTGCCCCTCCTATAATATCCCTTTTCTTCTCTCTATCCACCCACCCCCGTCCCTCAGTCCCGCGTTGCTGCAGCCACCGTTGCAATATTATTTATTTCAGTTTTTACTCTGTCCGGTCTCAGCTTGCCGGATTTCCAACTTCTATAAAGCCATACAATTTCTGCGCTTTGCCTCTCCTTCTTTAACCACCTTCACCCCACCTACCCAGCCCCCAGCCCCCTTCTCTCCTTGGTTTGCTCGTCTCGTTCACTTTCTCTCTCCGTGGCTGCTGGTTTTTAATGGACTGGAGTCAGATCCCCAGCTGGTGAAGTGGGGCTGGGCCAGGGGAGGGACTGAGTGCTCAGATAAGCGGGAGCAAGGGAAAACAATTCCAGCTGGGGATCCAGCCTCATTTATTTTTTTTCTCTAGCCACGCATTTTGACAGTGATTGGTGTTTATTGTGTTGTTTGGTGTGTGTCACTTGCTGTTGCATGTAAGAGATGGGGAGGGAGGCACAGAGAGAGCAAAAGGGAAAATTCTAGATCAGGGCACAAAACATTTGGAGTAGATTTTTATATTCCTGCCTCAGTCTGAAATGATCGGATGACTAATAGTAAGGTCAAGGCAATTCTGGTGTGGATTAAATCTGGAAGCAAGCACAACACCCTTTAGAATAAACCAAAATTGCTCCAAAACAGATTCTCATGATGACAGCTCCACGGGTTCAAATATAGTTTGCCATCCACACTTCACATTAAATTGCCATGAAAATAGGTTTAGAGGTAGGCTGTCTCCAAAGAATCTTCGGAGTTATATAATTTTGCTCCAAATGTTTTTCCGTGGAAGGGGGGGAAAATGAAAATAGGAGAGTTGTCATAAATCTATGCTTCTGGGCACATCTTCACTAGAGACAACTGAAACAGCATTCTCCCTCATTCCGATGGAGCAGATGAACTAAAGTAATGAAGGTTAGTAGTAGAAAGTGCAGTTTTCTAAAAGAATTCTGGTCTGAAGCCATGACAATTCAAATAGCATTAATTCAACCTTAAATATGTTCTGAGGTCCCTGATGGATGCTTGACAGTGAAATGGATTCAAAAAACTGGTTCAGATTTGTAATCTACGTAGCAGATAGGGTGGAAAAAATTGCAAAGGAGATACTAGCCATCTAACAAAATGGGTTAATTGTAGGAAGTTTCTGAACAAACAAAAATCACCTTGGAGACTGATTCTGAGGGGGGGGGGAAATGCCTGCTCTGTAGATGGAAATACTGCCTTGGGTGGGACATCTGAGAGTTTTAAAAAGTGTCTATGGAAAAGGCTAAAATATTGATATAAACGCAGGGAAGAATTCTGGGGATGTAGTCAGGAAAGTGGACCTCTTAAGTGAAAGACAAGAATGTGTTTCTTGAAGGCACCTCTGTGATGTCATGGATCAGTTCCTCTGTATGTCGGTGAAAAGAAATGGTTCCCCTGCTCCTTTTATCCCCCTTTTCTGTTCCCTCACCCACCCCATCGTTCATCAGAAACTGTACCAGTTCTTCCTTGCCTACTTGAAAAGAGTTATTTCTCATTTTTTTGGCACAACAATGAAAGATCCACAAAGGTAAGCCACCTGTTCTCCAGCTGCCAGTCCCAGGTATTCTTGGCAAGTTGGTTTATTTAGAATATTTCAATGATTTCTTTTGTTTTGGTTTTTCTTTTAACCGGTCAAAGCCATGCTGGTGGTCATGCCGGCATTGTGGTGTGGTGTGGTAGATTCATGGTGCCTTTTGGTATGACATGCACTGATCTTGCTTTTCAATGGGGGCATAATCTACAATGTAAACCTTCGAGTATGGCCTTGTCATCTTTGCTGCACTTTTAGCAGCTCTCTCTCTCTCTCTGTCTCTCTTTCTGTCTCTCTAAAGGCTGCCTTTATATTAAACTTTTTTCCTCCCTTCCAGTGAGCTGCTGTCGCTCTTTGGGCAATTGATATCCATCACTCTAATGTCCTTGGGAATCTTTCCCCACCTTCTGCATCTTGGAAATGCCGTTGTCTGTTTCTGTTCCTTTTTCTTTTTGTTTCTGATGATTATATTTCTTTTTTTAGGAATCCCTGTTATGGATGGCAAATGGGTTTCTCCTCCCTAAATATTCCACAGGGGAATCTTGTCTTTTCAGGCTCACAGAATAGATTGAAACATTTTTGGTTTATGAAACAGAAAGCAGCAGCAATTAGCAGCTTCCACTGTCCAAGTGCACTCTTGTTAATATGTTCTCCCAAGAAAGCCCTCTGAGGTCAAAGAACCTGTGTAATGCTTTATTTCACTGCAGTTTCCGCAAAAAAGAGCTTTCTAGGAGGCCTATCTAGTAATACTATTTTGGCACCCAAGATCTGATTTTATCTCTCAGCCAAAGCTTATCAGCCTCACACACAAATTCCCCCTTCTCTTTCTGTTTGTTTTTTTCTGTTTATTATCTATCTATCTATCTATCTATCTATCTATCTATCTATCTATCTATCTATCTATCTATCTAATCTAGCTTATCTATCTATAATTTATAGCTCTATCTATATCTATCTTATCTATGTATCATCTATAGCTCTATCTATGTATCTATCTATCTATCTATTTATCTATCTATCATCTATCATATCTATCTATCTATCTATCTATCTATCTATCTATCTATCTATCTATCTATCTATCTATCTATCTATCTTGGTGCTTAGGAAGCCCAACTTTTTCCACCCAAATAAAAACAGAATTACATTTAACATATATTGCATGCTGCTCATGCCCTGCTAGAAAGAAACAAGTTCATTCAGCAGATCTGAGAATATTTCAGTCCTTTTTTTAAAAAACTGAAGGAAAAATGAACTCTTATGATTTAAGCAGAATCTGGTCTGACTTCCAGCTACTTCCTCCCTCGCCCTTTTCTTTTTTTCCTGATGTGCTCCATGTACCTTTAATACTAATAGCCAAGAATTTGGTGAATTAATGTTTCCTCAGTTTCTGCTGAAATTTTGTTTAATGCTCTCTTTAAAGACAGAGACTTCTTTAAGAGTACAGATGAAGCCTGTTTTTTCTTGCTGAAAGAAGCAGGCAAAGCTTCTCAAATCAGAACTTTTTTGCAAATAGCGTTGATCTTGATAACCCTACAGGTTTTGGTAGGGCTAGATTCTAGCAGGCATTTAATATTTAGACTTTGTTTATTTCATAGCCTTTATAGATTTTAACACACAAGCCTGATTTATTTCAATTGGAAACCTTCAGAGGCCATGATTTTGAAAGGCAGTGGCAGCATGAGTCTATTCATTGCAGAGTAAATTACTCTTTTAAATCCTACATAGGCTGTGGACTATGATAGGAGTCACACTAACACAGTGAACAAAGTCACTGTTGTGAGAGGGGCAGCTACATAAATTATCCAAATGAATAAATATATTTCATTAGAGAAATTTCATTTGTTAACCGAGTTATACACATTTTAAGTGTGCATAGGTGAAATAACTTAGCTCTTCCATTGCATTCACTTTACCGGCAAGATCAAAGAATGATTCAAACATAAATCCCCCATCTCTCCAAAAGTATATTTAAAAAACCCAAGAATTATCATTTCTTTATTGTTCAGAGTTCATTTTCATTTAATCAATAAGCAGTATCAAGCTATTATAAATTGAAGAAAGGTTAGGGGGAAGCTCACTATTTCTCTAGCAGTGTTCATTTGGAAGACTGCAATTGCAATATATAAACTGCAGATATAAACCTATTCAAAAAAAATTAAAAAGGCAGCCATAAGACTTATAGCCTTGGCTTATAGCTTTGTCAAATTAAGATACTATTTTGACCTGACACAACAGCTGCTGTCCTAATAGTAACCAGAATTTTAAAATATCTTTTCCCTCTGGAGCCTGAAATGAATCTCCTGTCTTAGTCCCTGTCCTGGGTCCCCTCCCCTTATGAAGTTCCCCTTCCTTTTTGCTTTTCAGCTTCCAAGATGTCATGGATGGAACCACCTCTATACCAGTTGGAAATTTCCTTTAATGTTTAATAAAAACAAAACCAAACACTCCTTCCCTCCCACAATTCTTTTATTTATTTTCTCTTCTCCTAAAGTCATCCCATCACTGCTGCTTTTTGCTTATTCATGGGGATTTTGAGCACTACATGCACCAACAGGACCTAGCCTAGGCAGAGTTTCCCCAAATTCCATGAAGAGCAGAAGCCCTAATTTATAATATGTGAAATCTTCTCTCTACACATTTTCCACAACAGGGACTCATTTGGAGATACTGTACATACCAAAGAAAGTGATCTAATTTATTTCCCTTGCCCTCCCTTTTTTGGGGGGGGGGCAGTTCCAGAAATTTAAGAAATTGTGCAGCCGAACTGTTAAGAAATTGGGATGAAACTGCTTAGTGGTTTCTAGTGGTATAGTGAAAATGGGGTTTGAGTTTTTATTTCACCTTAATATGTGCCCCAAAGGAGCACCTCTCAAAAAAAAAAAAAAAAAACACAAAACCAAAAGCTACAACTATATAAACCACTTGGAAATTATATTCTCACCCCCTTGGTGTTTTTGGAAGTACAGATAGTCCTCAATTTACAACAGTTCATTTAGTGACCATTCAAAGTTACAACACTGAAAAATGTGACTTATGAGCGTTTTTCTTATTTACGATTTTTGCAGTATCCTCAAATTCAGATGCTTGGCAACAGGTTCATTTTTATGACTGTTGCAATGTCCCAAGGTCATGTGATCACCTTTTGTGACTTTCTGACAAGCAAACTCAGTGGGGATGCCAGATTCACTTAACAACTGGGTTACTAATTCATCAACTACATTTATTCACTTAACAGCTGTGGCAAGAAAGATTATAAAATGAGCCAAAACTCACTTAACAAATGTTACACATAACAATAAAAAAATTGGGCTCAATTGTGAATGTAAATCGAGGACTACCTGTATAGCTCCTGTCACTGAAAGATTGCTCACTTAATCTTCAATCATTTTAACCACTGATAATTATTATCCATTGATAATTTTATGAGTGTGGAAATAAAACCCTAATGAAAATGTAAGTAATAACATGCCAGATTCCCATACTTAAATAGCTTTACCTACCTTTCATTTTTCAAGTGTTGAAACATGTAAATATTGTAGCACTGTAATAGTAAAGAAGAGACATCTGTTTTCTGAAATCTATGTCCCGTATACCTCCTGTAAAATTTGGCTCAGTGGAGAAGTGCCTTGTAACAACTCCTAAAAATACGTGTTCAGCTTATCTCCATTCCAGAGATTTGCTAGATCCAGTCATTACAGTCTAGTTATCACTTCAAAATAGTGATAAGCTGTATCATTTAGTGATCTTTGCCTATAATTTAGGGATTTTAAGGAAAAGCTGGACACACGCAGGTTTTGCTTTATTCCTGAGGAATGGCAGTTATTTTTGAATCTGAGCTAAAGGAGAAATATGAACTCATGCAATTGGAGTGAGGCAAAAACTGCTTGCAAAAAATTATTATTTCAGATATGAGCTCATGCACTTTGGGTTCAGAAATTCAAAATTAATCAACCTGTTTGCAACAGTCCTGCTCTTTAATTTGCCCACAGTTCTACTTCTGAATCATGTTAGATCCTAGCAGCTAAAATGTGGCAGATTGACCTTTGGCTTTTAATGAGAGATGGGAACAAGATTTTTTTCCTGGTTAAGAAAAGGTCCATAACTTCATGCAAAAGTCCCATAATTGTTTAAACCCAGGTCTATAATTTCAGCTAGTTAATAATGCAGACACAGATAGATCTTTTGCCACACTTCATTTTCTCTTTGGGAACATTAAGCAAAGCTGGTGGCTCCGAACTAGTTTTCCTGGGAAGGAATGCCTATTAAACCAGTTTACCTCTATAGTGGAGACATAAACATGAGGAGAAGGAGGTAACACTTTCACTCAGTTTTTCTAAAAGCATCAGTGCAGGGTAATATTGAAGAACTGAATGTCAATTGTAGAGAGTGCCTGAAGATTAGATGTCCTGAAAGGGTTTACCCATCACCACCTTGTGCTTTTTCACCTCAACTTGCTGGCTCATCTTTTCTCTTGTGTCCTACCACTTGCTTCTGGCCACTGCAGGGACAGGAGGGAAGCCTGTGAGGCATGGACAGAGGGCCCAATGGCCAAGCATGAACTCATTATCCCCTCTTCCCTCGTCTCCTCCCCCAAACAGCAAGGATGGGCCTCAATACTCGAACGTTTACTGTACTGTTGCAACAATGCATGGGTCTTTCTTTTCTCTTCCTCTCCTGCGGCTGTAACTGGAGACGTTTTCACTGTGTGTCTGTGCCGTTCAGCTTTTCTGAAGTCTTCTGGGACTTCCTGCCCTGACTTTCTTGCAGCATGAAAGCCACCTCTCTCACTCATCTCTGCTTTTGCCACATTGCACCTTGAAGTCTCCCACAGGGCTTTTTGCTGTATGTGTCAGCAGCTGTCGACCATTATGCACTTCCATTGCACAACACCGTGTGCTTCTTTCCAAGAGGTCAGCTTGCCCACAGGGTCCATGGCTTGATTAAGGATCAAGCCTGATGGTGTCAACAACAAAAAATGAACAATACTTGGGGAATGCTGATTTGGTTAGTTTCTTCTCCTTCCCTCCCTCCCCAGAATAACAATTATTTCATATTTCCAGTCATTTTAAGGGTGAAAAAAGGGCATTCTTTCATTTTTCCTTCAGTTCAGCTTAACTTTTAAACACTGAAATGTTTAGCCCAAATGGGTAGCCTATCAACCATCTATTGAGTTTGGTGAGGAATATATAACAAGATCATACCGAAGCCACTCCCAAATGGATACTGGCCTAGCTGAGGTAGCATATATGCAGGTTGGCAAACCAAGATACCTCTGCAAAATAAATAGAGTGCACTTCTCTTTCCCATTTTGCAAATGAAGAACTGAAGCATATCATTAATAACTGACAGATGCTTCTCTCTCCTTCTGCCCTCTGAGTTGTAGATCCAAGTACACTTGATGTCAAGTCACATCCAGCTATTTTTTCCTTTTGTACTTAAAATTATCCCTTCTCCACCATCCTCAAAGAGGTTGTATGATTCAAGGAACTGTCAGCAGTTCTGAAAACAAGAAATATTAAGGAAACCAAACAATAATATTTAGGGTAAATAAAATTGGAAGAAGCCATTTTGAGTTTAGGCAGAAAATCAAAATGCTCCCCTTCCAGAAGTTAACAGTGGATGCTTCATACCAATCCTCTTGAAATGAACAATTTAATAATCAGTGTCCTAATTTACTTTAATGATATCCATCATGCAGGAAACTGGGAATAGATGACAGAGCATATTATTTCCAGCTTCACAATGTGGAACATAAAATCTACCTGATCAAGGCACCGAACTGAATTAAAGCAAATACGGTTTAGCAGATATTGTCAGAAGCAGCAATCTCTATTAAGGAATTATGAAGTTAGCAAGACACTTAGGATTCAAACCTGACATGATTTTGGTATCAAAATAATTTTCTGTGATTAATTTGAGGCCTGGACTAAAAGCCAATTATTTATTTATTTGTGCCTTTAAGTCACAGTTGACTCTTTCTGACTGCCTGGATAAGTCCCTGAAATTTTCCTGGCAAGATTTCATAAGTGGTTTGCCCTTGCCTCCTTCCTAGGCTGAGGATGTGTGGCTGGCCCAAGGTCACACAGCCATTTTTGTGTCTAAGGAGGACTAGAATCATAGTCCTCCATTTTCTATCCTGACACATTAATCGCTACATCAGACTGGCTCCCCCATAATATCTGTTAGGAGAGATATTGGTTGTATCTTGGTTAAGAATTGAGTTGCTGGAATTCTTGTAATGCTGTCACTTTCATCGCAGCACAACTGGCCCACAATCACTCTGCTGGGCTGCATACCTAAGGCAGGTTTAGAACTCACCATCTCTTAGTTTCTAGCCTGGTGCCTTAACCACTACACTAAACTGGCTCTGAAGGCCAAAACAGTCATTCCAAATATGGTGCAAAGTAAACTTGAATATCTTTCCATTTCCTAAGATCCTTTGGCTAAAACTGAGGGAATGTTAGCTTTGAGATCCAAAGCCTCTGTTGAATTCCAGCTTGAAGGTAATGTCTCTCATTTATAGGATTGCATAACAATCTGCCTCCTTCCCTCTCTGCAACAGCCCCCTCCTGCACACATACATACATATAGACGCCAACCATTTGAATACTTTTAGAATTAAATGTTTTATTTATTCCCTTGTCTTTTCTCATCTCTCTCCCCCCCCCTCTCTCTCTGTCTCTCTCTCTCTCTCTCTCTCTCTGTCTCTCTCTCTCACACACACACACACACTCATACACATATTTCTCTCCAACAATAGGAGACATAATTAAGAAACTTCCCATCATCATGTTCCTTCTTGCTCTATTATTTGTCTAATAAATTGCCTTTGGGAATCTGACCCCACATTTTTGCCATTACTGCATGCTTCCAAATTGCTTTAGTTTGGGAGTTTCGTTCTTCATTTGGTTTTGAGTGTAATTTGTTTTGTTTTCCTAATTTTCGAGGGCTTTGCCTTTCTCTTTTAGACTTCACAGGTTGATTCTCCCCAACTCATCATTTTGATAAAGGAGCTGGATACTGGTCCCCAAGCATGATGTGGCAAGAAGACAGTCAAATGCATGCAGTTGCTTAGGATTGCCTCAGTCTTTCTCCTCCCCATTAAGCATGCAACCCTATCAACATTAATGTATCTCCTCTTCATCATCAATCTTCTGGGCATTCGTCAAATGGGCTAATCCTATCCAAGAAGCATGAGAGAAGTCCCTTCTTTTCCACACCAAACTCCACCATAAATTATAAGACAATGACACCCGTGCTATACGCAAAGCACCCAGAGATATTTACTCACAAAGCACTACAGCCACAATGTCTTAATATGTAAGCTGGCAATCAGGTTCACTGGGATGGAGGTAGGGTGAAATTTCCCCAGTATTTCCTTAAAAGAAGCAGCAGATACATTTCTGTTGCTGAAACAAGCCAGAGAAAGTCAGGCTTGACTCTTAGTGACCATTTGATTAGATTTTTCTCCATGTTTTAAAATGCTGGCATCCATTTTAGAGCAAGGTTCAGGTCACTATGAAGAAACCAGCATGGAGGAAGTAAGACCAACTTACAATAAGCCACAAGCAAGTATGAAATATCATTCCCAATTCTTCAGCCAGAACATGGACAATTTCCTGAATGAGGTTAAATCCTTCATTTTTCATTCCCATTGCTTTATTTAGATGGAACTCATGGCTACTGCTACCGCCAGCACATACCACACATATACAAACAGTTTTCTACAATTCCTAGATTGTCACTAAGCATAATATTTAGTTGCGCACATGTCCCTCTCATTTCCTATGCCTGTTTTTACCATTCATGTCTCATTCATTTAAGTTCTGCACCCATTTTTATTTTATTCCTTGTGACCAACAAAGGCTCCACTCTCCTCAGCTACACGTTAAGCAATTTGTCACAGGACCAATACTGATTAACCCAAGACAAACTATGGACAATAAAAAAGGGGGCACTGGACAAACATCAAGAATAGGGAGAGGAGGCAGACGGACTGGGTAGGAACACAGTATTGAGAATCTGGCATGGCAGTATTAAATTGATGTCACTCATGGCTCAGCAGCTGTTTCATAAGCTTATCTTAGTAGTTTTAGCTTTGCTCATAATAATCTTTGGAAGGTAGGTAACCTCAGAGCTTTCAAGTATTTATTCAGTTGCTGGCATCCTTAGTAAAAAGTTTTTCACCAATGTTGACACAATATTTATACTGGGTTAATAGTCTTTCCTTATCCCAAGGGAATTGTGATGCTTTAAATGGGGAAGGCAATTCTAACAAATTTTTAGTCCCATCACTAAACTACAGTCCCACAGGATTATATCAGAAAAGTCACAATTAAAATGATGCAGATTTAACACATATTTGTAATGTCAACCTGCCCTCAGAGCAGAAAATCCCTTTCGTAGGATATTTGCAACAAAGTGGAGAAACACTGATAGCACTTGATCAGCACTGCCTTATGTCTAGTGGCTGGAAATTATATTTAGGATTAATGGTTCCTATCCCATCTCTTCAGCCTTCTCCTAGATCAAGCTGAGATGGCAAAGGATGACAATTAGCAAGATCCACAAATGTGGCCTGGCATTGGGCAGCTCTAAGTCAATCTTTCATTCATTCTCTTTTTCTTCCTTTTGGCCTTCTCTGCAGATCCGCGTAGTGAAAGCGTTCCGTAGTTCACTCTATGAAGGGCTGGAGAAGCCAGATACCAAGACCTCCATCCATAATTTCATGACAACGCCTGAGTTCTTGATCAACGACTACATCCACAACATTCCTCTCATTGACGATACAGACGTGGAGGAGAGTGAGGGTCCCCTAAGACAGCACTTCAGGGCCAGCCCCCCACCATCTCCCAACAAGAACAACAATGCCATTGACAGTGGCATCTACCTTAGCACCGATGTCAGCAAGACACCTACCTCCTCATGCAGCCCAGTTAGCCCACTCCACAGCATGGAAACCTCCCTCTAACACAACCCTAACATGCAGCCAGTTGAATTGACTTTGTTCACAACAGAGGTGTCCATTTCCTCCTTCTAGGAGGTAGGCTAGCTAAGGAAGGATGAAACCCGACAGGAGATGACCCTTCACCTCTTGACTCAGTGGAGTGGAAAAGGACAAGGTTTTTGCCATTGGATGGCTCAGACAACCAGAGACATGCTGACTTGATGCAAGGAAAACAAACCACAGAGGGGGAAAACAGTTTTCTTACTCGAGAGATTTGGGCTGAGTCCCAGAGAGTGTACAGGAAAACCACCCATTTCTCTAATCTGTTCTTTGGGGTATTTTTGGACGCAACCACACTCACCAAACCCACAATGATCCTGCAATTGAGAGGTTGCTTTGATTTTTCTTGTGGGACCTCTTTTTTCTCCTCTCCCCCCAATATTTAAAAAAGAAACTATATTTACACCAGAAAAAGGAACAAAAACAAAACAAAAAAAGAAAAAAAGAGGAATAATCTACACAACTATTATCCATATATATATATATATATATATATATATATATATATATATATATATATAAAATACCAACCAACAGATGTATTAACGGATTTTCTAACCATAACGCATGCCTGTTATCAAACTCTCCTTTCTTCTTCCCCCTCCCCCAATGGAATTTCAGTTTGGGGCAATTTTGTTTTTTAAAAAAAGAAAAAAATACATTGTTTGCTGGAGCTTGTATTTTATATCAGGATTTGCCAGGAAAAAGAAAGAGTTTCCTTTCTGTTAAGAGGGGAATTGACTGTGGAACAATGACTGAGTAATCAAAATGAATTTTTTGGGGGGGAGGGGAATTGGATAGTGCAGATATAGTATGACTGAAAATAGGGTGTGATTGCAGTGACACAAATTTGCACCTTTTCAGCTAATTTCACAAAAAGTGACTGAACGTGAGGTCCCTTTTGGGGGGGCACTTCTCTTCTTCCCCCGACCACTGCTCACAATCCGTATGCTTCCTATAGGTACTGATTTAACCAACCAACACCCAATAACTGAACAGTACAGAGAATTTAGGGTGCAAAAAGAAGATAAAGTTTCCTGTTGCATAGGATCACTAAATTAGAGCATGCATTATTTAATAGATTTGTCAGAAAATTATATTTCTGAGAATCATTTAATTTTCAAAACACCAACAACCATCACAAAGATTTCTACCCTCATGGTTGTGAGAAAACCTAGAAATATATACATGCAGTGATTGCACAAGACTGCATGGCCTATTATGGCTACTCACCTCCAAGACTGCAGCTTGACCTTACCACTTTAAAATTATTTTTATATTCTATCTTATTCCAGAGACTATTAAGTTATTACAACTTTGAAATGCCTTTTTTGCACTGATTGGGAGGATATTTCCCTTCAGCTACTCTGTGCTAATTCTGAGATTCTAAACAGATTCTAAACTTTCATGACAAAACTTGCCTTGGGTCCAATTCTTTGTACATGAGGAACTGAACTCAGCCTTCTCAATCAAGCAAATTCAAACTGCATCTTGGAGAGGAAAAAAAAGGAAACCCTGCCAATAAGACAAAATACCACAATCAAATGTTCACAGAGGGTATGGAGGAACATTATGGAAAACATATGGAGTGATCCATAGGCAATACTGAAATAAACTCCATTTCAGGGAAGCTGCCTTGGAAAATTTCCAGTGCCAATACTAATGTGTGGAAGAGTGCATATTATGAGTCCTTTATATCTCCTGTATCAAATGCTCAAGAAAACTTTGAAGAGAACAGAAATAGCTCCTGAATATGTTATACTAATCCTCTGAGTAGACTAACCCTTCACTTATATCCTGCCAGGAGCTCTGAGTAGCCTGATATGGATTATTCCATGTTAACTTTACAATAATCCTGTGCTGGCTGAGAGTAAATTAGCAAGTTGCCTAAGGCCACTTGTGGTTGAGTAAAGACCACCACATTTAAAAGCTTCAGTAATATAAGTAAGGCCAGTTAAGGAGAGACATACTGAAAATTACCACACAGCATCAACTAGGCCATATGCTAATCAAAATTCAAGAGAGTACCAGTTTACTGGATTTTGTCACATATAACTACACAATTATTTTTATCCCCAAAAGGGCACTGGGTTAAACATGATTTCAGCATTTTCCCCCAAACAATACAAATCTAAAATAACTACACTAACAGTAAAAGTTGATGTCATGGTAGCTAATAGAATGCTGCATAAGAGGTAAAGGCTGCTCTAGCCAGGGACAATAATTATGTATGGTCTTAAATGAATATGAGGGTCCAGATCCTTTCAATATAAAAGTTTGCTAAAAGCTTCAATACTAATAGTTTTCAAACACGGAGTGGCACCAACTGCCACCTGAAAGATATTCCTGGTTCTCAGTCAGATAGGCTGACCAAGCAGTACTTGGGAGTTAAAAGTGGATTGGGCAGAAATCAGGCCACAAGAGGGGTGAGGGACACACATCCTCAGATGGTTTGACTTAGGCTGCACAGATGAGATCCTCGAGAACTCTGGCAGTGTCATCTTCCTCCACCCATGACATTACAGCTGACCATTCGTCATGATTCAATATGTTACATGTTTTGTATTTCCTAGGGCAAGCCTGCTTGAAAATACCAGCTACAGCACTATCAGAAAAGCCATCCCTCCTTCGGAAGGGCAAATGCCAAACCCATCTGTAAATCTTTGTTGCTGTCTTTTCTTTCTAAGAACAAAAATAACAAAAGCAAGCTTTTTTCTTCTTTTTTCTCATCTGAATGTTTAAAAAAAAAAATCCAAAATCTTAAAATAATTTAGTTTTCAGGGAAGGGGAATGGAGCCAAGGAACACTTTTGTCTCAACCTGGGCTTCTTTTCATTCAATACTGTAGATATTATTGATAGAAACAATTATAAATATTTAAAAAAAAATATTCAGAGAAAAGGTCACTTTGTCGCTGTAAATTTGCCAGCCATTTACAAGTACGTTTTGTTCACAACTTGGGAAGGGAAAGGACATTCACTCCAAGGGGGAAGAGGGGAGAAGAATCCATTCTTGTTGGGGACATTTCTTTTCTAAACCATATTCTAATGGGAAGAGGATGAAGGGTTTTTTTTAAAAAAATAATAATAAATAAATTTAAAAACCAGTGCTTGTACTTTTGTTCTAATGGAAGATACTGTGCAAAAAATCCACAAGCATAAAGCTGGAAGTAGACAGGAAATGGTTTATTAAAATCTTAGCTCCACCCTATTCTTATTTCTGTATGCAGATTATCTGTAATTCAATACTGGAGCCAAACTCTAGAAGCTGAAAATCTCAGACTTAGTCCTTGGCATCAAAAGGAAGGACTAGGAAAGATCAATACCAGAAAATCTGAAGCATAATGAACTGCCAAACAATGAACTACTAGGTGTTACCAATTTACCTGAATCTGTTCCTATCATGCTCTGTTCCCTCCTTTCAATGCACGATGTATTTATGTATAGCTCCTTAGATCCAGAAAGAAGACAGTTTAGGATCTGCTGGTAAATCTCTGCATAATCCAAAACAGATTACTAAACATATCTGATTTCCAGCTGTTTAAGAGCACCAGAAACAAAATGATTCTCCATCGCTATAGAATCTGGGGCAATAGATTTTTTTCATGGAAAGATTGAAAAGTTCCATTTAAGTTCTGTCGTGTATCTGGAACAAATTCCCAACTCAATTTTTGAATTCTGCACCAAATTCTAATTGGTGGTTTGCATGGATGTATGTATATGGTGTGTGTGTTTTTATGTATATGTTGTGTGTGTTTGCATCTGTGCACGTACTCGTATATTACAAATGCTTAGCAAACATCAATTTAGAAATGGCTGGAACAAAGGGCTTCAGAATTCATGAATGGCCAACTGGCACAGACAAGCAACCACCAGAAACAGTGGGCCATATCTAAGTAACACCTGATGCTCCAAGGAGACTAGCTACAGCCTAATTAGGATTCCATTAATATCTATCTCTAATTTATTTATTTATTAGATTGATTTGTCGCCCATCTCACTTCAAAATGATTCTGGACGGCTTACATTAATGCACTGTTACCCAATTCCTAGAGAGAAGGTGAAATTAAAGAGTAGCTGACTTGTAGTATATTTTCTTTAAAAGTTGAGTCAACTTTACTCAGACTGCCAGCACAACATTCTCTGCTTTTTTGCAACAGAATAGTATTCATAGTAACTAGATCTGGCTATTCTGTTAAGAGAAGAAATATGAATGCAGCAACTGAATTACACGAGGTACAAGATCTGTTGTATGGATGTTTGGAGGGCTGGGAGGAAAAGGCTACAAGGTGTACACAAGAACTGTTTTGCAGGATCTGACTGAAGATGTGTCTCCTTCAAAATTTTCTCTCCAACACAAATTAGGCAAACATTAAAGATATTTTATAATAAGATATGGGCAACGTGATGGCTCAGCAGTTAAAACGCTGGGCTTGTCAGCTGGAAAGCCAACAGTTCAAGACCCAAGCATCGTGTGACGGGATGAACTCCCATCTTCGCCTAGTTCCTGCACACCTAGCAGTTCGAAAGCATGCAAATGTGAGTAGATAAATAGGTACCACTTCAGTGGGAAGATAACAGTGCTCTGTGATATCATGCTGGCCACATGACTGCAGAAACATGTTCAGACAGCGCTGGTTCAATGGCCCTTGAAACAGAGATAAGCCCCTATAGTTGTTACGAATAGCAGAGTAAAATCCACAGGGGCTCATTTCCTTTCCATAGTAAGACACAGTCAGACAGATGCCCCATGGCTGTCCCCAAGAAATAGTGCTCAAATGTATACCTAAATATGGAAAATTCCTTTACCATCATTACTAATAACTGAAATAATTGGCCTCTAAGAATTTACCTAGTTCTTTTTAAAAGTTGCATTGTCTTCCATTGAAATGTGTTGAAATGTGTTGAAATTATCACATATCATGACTTAGGGTTTCTCTGCCCTAAATCCACCACTATTCAGTATCAAACTGGATCAAACTGAAGCTATACAATGTTTCAAAAGAATAACCCATTTTTTTCTTCTATTTAAGCTTTTCTCTCATTTTTCTAAACTTCTAATCCTGCTACTACTTTCCAAACTAATAGTGCAATCCTAAATAGATCTATCTAAAATCCATTCAAATGAAAGTGGGGCTGAACCAAACCTACAAGATTGCACCATAAAAATGCTAAATTCTTAAACCTCGGTAGAAAACTATCACAGCAAGTCTTTTTTTTTCTTTCCAAGTCAGTGCAATGCCAAAAAGAAATTATGAAAGGGGGCTCAGAAATCTGTTCATATGTCTCTCTGTCCATCAGCCAATTCTCTGAAAATTGAACAGAAGGAAGCCAAGTGTGGCATGACAGAGAAAGCCAACAAAAAGATTTGAAAATAGATTGAACTTGGTGAGGGCATAAAAGGGAAAACATTCCAGGGGGAGAAAAAAAAAAGATGGATGAGAGACATAATTGGGCAGAAATC